TGACCTAACTGAAAATAGAAATTCTGAATAAAACTGATCTAGTAAATGTATTGTTGTTGGAGTTTTCTAGATCCTTTCTATTATAGGACAGCGTGGTCAATATTTCTTCGTTAATACACTTAAAAATAAAAGATCATACGGAAAATCTGGAATTATATAGGTTAACCCCTTCAGACCTGATGGCCACATTTAATGGCCACACTTTACATGAAGTTTCTACGCTGGTATTTCGATGAGGATGAATGTTTCGAAAATTCAAACCGTTTGTACACCCTCGTGAATATTAAATACAAAACAAAAACTATAAACATTTTTTTAAACCAAATAGCATCTAGACAGTCTACTCGAAAGAATCACTAAAACTGAAAGAACTTACTACTTAATAGAACGTTCAGGTCTGAAAGGGTTAAGTTCAAATTGATTCTGCGTATGAGATCGCGGTTAGATTTAAAATAATTCTGGATTACGTCTGAATTAAGGCAACATCATATGAAACATAATTGAATATTAGTCACTGGGTAATTAGAATGAAAGGTACATACTTAAAATTTGCAATATAAACAGAAGCAGTGTTGCAATATATAAATCAATCATCATACACGTATGTATGTCTTTTTCCTGCGTGTTGTCCCATGGCAGAAAATATGCAGGACAGACCACTTAAATGAGATCACCTAAATAGCGCAGTTACTGTGTGACGGCACATGTAACGGTACGACAAATTTTTTGAAAAGATTTTTTGAATGGGTCATATACATTACTCAACTGGAAAAAATTGATTTTTTTAAATATATATTTTGAAAGACATACCTTGTCATTTGTGGTGGTTCGAAAAAACCCGTTTTGCGTCAGGTCATGTAAACACCATATTTATAATAATTTTTAAGTTGTCTATCAAGTTTTCTACTGTACAATCATATAGTTTCATAATGCAAACAGAATTAATCCAGTAGGCCTCATAGTTTTCTCTCAATCACTCACAAAATATTGACCATTTTTTTTAGTGCCGAGAAACCTGTATGACCCCTTCAGATATTTCAGGCCACTGGTATCTTTTAAAATAGAATCCCATTTTTTTCTATATCAACACAAAGCATAAGAAAACAAATTCGGCAACCTTAACAACCATACCGTCCCGATCATTTAATCTGCAGATATTTTCACCTGGACAGTTCTCAATAGCAGCTATGTTTACGGTTGGATACGAATGCATGAATCAATATGCCACATGTATTTGTAAGAAACTTTAATTACCTTCGGATAAAAATATCTCAATAGTAAATGATCGGAACGACATGGTTAATAAGGTCTTGAATTTCTTTTTTAAGCTATGCATAAATATACAAAAGAATATAGGATCCTATTTTAAAAAAAGTATCAATGACCTTGAAAAGTGCTTAAAAAATGACTTTAATTTTGTACTGAGGATTTTTTCCATACAACAACAAGTAACCAAGATATATATAGTTAATCTTATTTAGCTAATCCCCCTCGTATGGTGTATTTTTAAATTATTATGAATATCATTTAAATGAAATTAATTTCTAAGAAGAACAGAGTCCGCCATTCTTTCCTACAGTGTTTATCATTGCATTTATAGACCCTTAACAATACGAAGAACTGATTTCAATTGCACAAAATTAAATTAATTGGATTTTGTATTTCTCTTGATACGAGATATTTCTCAGTTGTTCTTACGGAAATGAAATTAATTTCTAAGAGGAACGGGCTCGGCAATGGTTTCGTTTGGCATTTACGATCGAGAGCATAAAGCAACGGTGCAATGAAGCGCGAATCTCCGGAGCTGCAAAAAAGCTCTACATGGGAGTACTTTCCACCCATCTCGGCACGTATACCCTTACCGGAAGATTTATCCGCGGACGGAGGCCAAAAGTATTCTAGAAGAACGCTACGATACATAATCGAACACGATATATCGGAGTTAACCCTTCGATCCATTTCAATAACTCGAAATTGTTTCGAAACACATTTTCTTTTAAACCCGTTTCTTCTTTCTTTCAATTTCGTTCTTTTCTTCAGTACGAAATAAACCCTTCGATGCAAAACATAAGAACAAGGCAAGGTTAAAGAACACACCCGTGTAAAGAAATAAAACAGAAATAAACGTGGAATACAAGTGTTATTCTGAAATTTCTTAAAATCATAATATTATAATACTAATTTATTTAGAGTAATTGCTATTGAATATCGTGTAATAAAGAGCAAATACTTTCTTATCAGTAATACTTTCTTAATCAGTCATATTGAATATGATTCTAATTATTGGTAAATTTTATAAAAATATTACCTTTTTAATTTTTTTTTAAATTTATTCTATTTCTAAACTACACGCAAGTTTCTCAATTCATATTACGGATAAGCTGTAATATTCAAGTTGAACTGTATACAATGTCACAGAAATAGTAATTTACCTTAATACGTAATTTATGCTAGGAGTTGAATCTGTTGAATATAACTTTACTTATTAGAACGAATAACTTTATAATCAAAAGAACGTTCTGTTCCGTCTTTAGGTCGTAGTCCCGTGAAATGCAGAAGGGGGATCTCAGCATTAATTAAAAGTACTAGATCGTGGTCCCCTTTAGAGCCGACACTCCACTCAAATACGTTTAAAAATTCGTCAAAGTTTTCAATATTAAAAGCTGTTCCATCAAAAGGGACTATCTTTGGACAGATAAATGGACGTCATATGTGAACTTTCGTTGCAAATGACCAGCAATTTTTCCGTTATATTGTGAACAATATTAAATGTTATACCCTGACAAGTTGTAAATAAACAAACCTTGTGGGACTTCAAAGGCGTCGATTTTCAGGTTTATGCTCCGTATTAATTTTAAACTTCAAATTGATCAAATATTTAAAATTACACATTTGTGTCGATTAAACATTCTGCGTTGGGAAATAATCACAGCTGTTGCCCAAATCGATAATAACTCCAAACACGTAATGCAATCTTATTAATAATCACTGCGTTAAATGGAATATTGTAAATTAACAACGGAAGTAAATATTTAAAATAGCCGAGCCTATTGACACACGTAATTCCGCTAACAGTATATACATGTGCGAGTTAATTATTTGTGAAAGATAAACGGCGTAATCCGAATGTTTTATTATCATTGCTCTTCCTGAAATACACATTACAATTTGCAATGGTTCTGTAATATACTATATGTAATAATTATTTTATAATTTTATGTCATCTCAAAATATGTGATATTTACAATTTTATACTGTCTTAAAATACGTGTGTTCTACCATTCTGTCGTAGAATCTTGTACAATCTCGAAAACGTAATTTCTATCGCACTAAATCTCTTGAAATATGCGACAACAATTTTTCATTTCTTTAAAGTACCTTTTGTTTTAAATCTCCTATACATGATTTGCATTGAAATAAATTCTTGCGGAAAAGAACAACTACGTTTTAAAATAGTCGGGAATGGCGTGACGATACAATTCTGATCGTTTGGGAATTGAAGTGCGCATTTTCGTCGAATATAAAGTTGCTCCTCGCTTATCGAGTTCAATATAAATGCAAATGATATTCATTGACCTCCATGACAAATATTTAAACGTGTACAAGCGTATAAAGACTTCGAAAGTTTCAAATGACTAGACATTCATTGTACGAATTGTACCTGCTTCTACATGATCAACTACCACAAAATATAATATGCTTTCATATTTGTCTTGTTTCACGTGCACGGAATTAAATATTTTTCAGTATTATTTCCATTGAATATTCATTCTTGATAGATATTCTAACCGATTCTGTCCACATTTTTGGAGGAAAATAAATGTAATTTCTTAATATTAATAATTTAGTTTTACAAAATTATTATATAATGTTTTCCTGAACATTTACAGTTAGTCATGATTATATTTTTTACACTTCAGTTTATAAATTAAGTTAAAAAGTATTATCATTCTTCTGAATATGTTGGACAATAATTATTTTAATTAAATTTTCAACTAGTGTCAGAAACATTAATCGAAATTTTATGAAGTTTAATCACCCAGTCAACCCAAATTATACATATATAAGGAAATTAGATAAATCTGATTATGTGCAAGCCATAATTTTCCACAATTCATTTGAAATAATTTAAAATGATTCAATTGCGTTGGCAAACAGTACCTCGAAAACAATAAAAGTCCACGTTTTAATTTAGAATACAAATAGTGATCTCGGTTAATTACACTGGTCAATATGATCTTTGTCCCAAAGAATTTATACTGATTCTTATAGATTTCTTTGTACTGAATACGAATCCGTAAACAATTTTTTGTCATCACCCTCAGTATCCGAGAAATTTTATTTTTTTTTTAAATGCAAATTTTCAACTTTGAACATTTCCTGTGTTCAAACATTAATAGTTATTCAGTTGATATTTACATGAAATTATTCTGTAAATTCTCCCGAATAAAACGGTATACGTTGTTATCGCATTATCAACATTTAAATATGTTTAAACAACAATCAAAGGGAAAAGGACACCCGAAATGCACTAATTTTTACAGATATTTTTCAATTTATTTCAAAAAGTAAAGGTGCAGGACATAATCTGACTGCGTCAGCAGATACAGTAAACATTTTTCTTCCAGAACGCATTAACAGAAATGGTAAGACACGTTTTGTGTTCAATACAGGAGCGAAATAGTTTAGTAAAACCTGCGACGCTGGCAGTGGTAGTCAAAGGCGGCAAGCGCAGGCGTTCGACTGTCGTTCGACTGCCGCCTGAGGGTGGTGGCACAAAACTGTTTACGGATTCGTATTCAGCACAGAAGAATCTATAAGAATCAGCAACTGGATGTTCGATGATAAACAAAAAGTTAAATTTTGTCGACCAGTGTTATTATCATTCGTATATAAAAGTGTAATCGAATCACGGTATATGCGACGAATTACTAATATTATATTTAAAAAACATTATCGTACACAATTATTCAAAGAAATTCTTCGCCGATTTGTTGCAGCTGTATCTGTATCTGTGGGCGTTTGGACCCTCGTCGCAATTTCATTGGAGCGTTACTTCGCCATCTGTAGACCGCTGGAGTCAAGACGCTGGCAAACTCAGTTCCACGCATACAAAATGATTGTTGTCGTTTGGTTAGCCAGTCTTACGTGGAATGCGCCCATCTTGGTGTTCTCGCAGCTTAGAAGTATACGCGGAGGTATACATTTTTTGAGAATACTCTTGGAAAATTTTAATGAAATTAGTTTTAAAGAAAAAGTCAATTATTTTTAAATCAATAAAGTATTATCAACTAGATATGTTGTTAACAGTGACTAGTTGCAAACACAATATTGGTTACCCTATTAATTAATATCAGTTATGGAGTTGCAATATTAATATCTATAATTGGCATTTATTAAACAATCGTAATTACGCCTTGCATTTTGCACTTATGAAATACTTAAATGAGGAAAAGATTAATATAATGACTTTACTGAAGATTGAAAGACTTTTTAATATATTTTGAATCTTATGAAATTTGCAGTAGACCTCGAAAATTCTGAATAATCATATTTTTCTCAAAATAGTGGGAAAAAATTGTGAAGTTCCATGAATAGGTATCCGTTGTCTAATTATAGTCTTGCTTATAAAACAATTGAAAACGTACTTTCAGTTAGAGTTATATTAGAATATTAACAATTTTATCCTGTGTTTTCATTTGCTTCCTTATTACATGTATATTTATTACATCTTTGATTCATCACCTACAGAACAATTACAGCACGTTGGTTTTCAAATAAATGCTATTAAAAATAATTATTAGTTCAGAAATACGTGCGCTAAACAGTCGTCCATTGTTAGTTCTGACAGAATCGGAATTCTCATTAGACCATCAGTTATATTCTAATAATTCGAAATTCTAGCGAAAATATGGCTTCGCGTAAATATTTTCGACTATGTTAAGTCTAATGTTAAGTCCCTAACCGCTTTGCAATTTGAAACTCGTTTCGTATGGGTGCGTATTTCAGACTGCGACATTTTCTTGGAATAATGAAATTAAAAAATGAGAATTACTCGTTTATGCACTTATTTGATTTCTCAGTACTCGTTTCATTTGCGTCTCATATATCATTTTGCAATTATAAATATCATTCTTATTCGAATATACAGGATGTTAATAAAAATGTGTGAAACTTTCACAAGATGGATTCTACATGGAAAACTAAAACGAAAGACAAGAATAGCGAAATTGCGTTTGAGGCTTCGTTTCCCAATTATTAATTGTTGTAAATACTGGCGAAATACGGAATGAAATACGTCTGACGCTATGGATTATACTATTTACAACAAATGATCCTTACAAGGAAACACCACGAACGTTGACTCGCAGATTGGAGTGAAACTTTGTGGGTTTATTGAGTGATTCAAGACAAGAATAGCGGTATGTTTCATTCGTGCCCAATCTACTTTTAAGAATGTGAATCTAACCCCAAAATCGAATAGGCACTCCCACTTTTTCGCGCATAACTCATAAAGTACAAGAGATAGAAAAAAATGTTTCAAGCAAAAGTTTATTGGTATAATATGCGCTATAAATTTCCGTTAACAAAATTGTGAAAAACTATTTTTTCGTAAAAAGAAAATTTTAAAACACTTTTTTAACCATTAGTACTATTACTATTTGTACCATTAAGCTTTTGTTTGGGACATTTTTTTCTGTCTTTTGTACTTTCAGAGTTATACGCGAAAAAGTGGGAGTGCCTGTCTGACTTTGGAGGTAGTTTTCACACCCTTAAATGGCGATTGGGCACGAATGAAACATACCGTTATTCTTGTCTTGAATCACTCTATAAACCCAAAAAGTTTCATTCCAATCCGCGAGTCAGCGTTGGTGGTGTTCCCGCGTCAGTTGATAGACGGAATCGATCGATGACATAGTGAAATTTATGAATGAAACCGACTCGTGGAACAATTGACAAACGAAATTGCATTTTCGAAAGCGATTTCGCCTGTACTTTTAACAATTAATATCTTATACATATAATATCGTCTCAGTTTGGCGTGTAGAATCCACCCTATAATTGATTAACACCCTGAAGAATAATGTAATATTTATTGAAATGTGAAAATCGTAAAAAAATATCTATACAATGTCACAAAGTATTAAAAAGTGTTTAACTTGCTGAACAAACATAAGGTATTACTATTTTACGTAGACGCCTCTTTTACGGTCAATATATGAATGATTGTTGTTAAAGTCGTTCAATCTCTGTGGTAAAATGCTTCGTACTGTGGATAGAAACTTCGATGTTTGGCGTCTGTTTTTTCAGGAAGGCACAAGTGTCGAGAACAATGGCCGAGTGTGGGCATCGAAAGAGCATATAATCTCTTTTTGGATGGAACTCTGCTCTTAGTTCCTTTAATCGTAATGAGCCTGGCGTACTCGTTAATCGCGGCGGAACTTTGGCGTGGATTACGACAAGAAATGCGACAAACGTCCGGCTGTCAACGACGCTGTAAGTAGTTTGAAAATCTTTACGATTGTTATTTGCTTCTCTTGGTGCGACGTTTAAGTATCGAAGTTGAGCACTGAACCCTTAATATTTCCATAAGTCGTAAACTCTGGACATATTATACTTGGATACATACTTTTATTTCGTCAGAATACTACAGTACGTTTGACATTCATTATTGTAATTTGTAAGAAAGAAGAATCATCATTTTTAAGTAACACAACGGAACATATTGAACTCACACACGCCGATTTTGACGCAATTCATATTGAAATACTTTATGGAAAAATATTTTACATGTATTTCTTTATTGGCATTCTTTCACATTGAAGGGATGAGAACACCCCCGAAGTTAGGGGTTGGGAACGTATTTTTGGAGTATGTCGGGAACTGAAGGGTATTGGAAAGAACTTTTTTTGAATTCTATGTATTTGAATGGGGAATTTGATTACAATTGAGAAATGAATAAAACGTGATATAATAGCTTGAGACTATCAATTTATTAAAAAACACATGTAATCATTTTTCATCGGTAAATTGGAGAAAAATATGTGCGTTATGGGTATAATATTGTATTATGCTGCCCAATAAGTTCGTGCGGTTTCGTATGGATCTAGAAATTTTTATTTCTTTCAAAAATATTTACTAACATTTCATCTATTATACTAAGTTGACCAGAAAGTCTTTTCGCTCTTTCCTTCAACGTGTTGTTTATATTGCGATGCATGGACATATATGCCAATAACTTTGCAAAGGCATATCAAATCCGAAGGTCGCCATTCCGACGCGCCGTTTGAAAGCAAAAGCATAAAGACTGGTTGCATGTGTCGTGTTCAGTAGAGCCTTGAAATGGAAGAAAGTAAAATATATTTTCGACGGCATTACACTGTATTACTACGATAAAGGTAAAAATGCAGTGCAGAACAGAAGAAATATATGTATAGTGTATGGTAAGAGTGCTATGAATGATAGGGTATGCCAATTTTGGTTGTCAAATTACGGGCAGGAAATTTTGCTGTCGGAGCTGATCCACTCTCTGAAAGACCAACGAAAGTTTGCAGCGACCTAATTCAGGCATTCGTTGTAAATAACCCACGTGAAACCTCACGGGCGATTATGTTATTTAACAAATACACCAACAATATATCGTATAATAAAGTTCTGTTCTTGCAGAGTAAAAAATTGTCTCTATGTTTCCTTAAAACATACGAGAAAACTTTTTAGCCAGCCCAATATATTCTCTACCATTATTCATTATATTCCCCCAACGTTCCGGCAGTATTTGAATTCCACGTTTGAAGAAGTTTTCTAGTTTCACTTCACTATGAAAGGAAAGTCCGCTCAAAGCGTTTTGAGGAAAACGGAAGGAATAGTCGAAGCAAGGTTCGTCGACTAGGGAGAATACTAAAGAATCGTCACCATAGACAGCGCATATATTTCAGTGGGTTTTTAGTACCTTTGCATCTTTGCAATCACGATTAAACTCGACGAGCAACGTATGTCGAAGATGTTCGATTTCATTCATTTGAAACTCCCTAGATGTTAAACGTAAACTTTATTGTTAACCCTCGGAAGACAGGTGTGACAGGGACACGGTAGATAAATGCAGGGTCATGTTGACCCATAGTAGAATTTTCATTGTATGCAGGTTTGAACAGGGAATTATACATAAAATTTTATGTATATCATCAAGTTCATTATATTAGGTTGATGAAAAAGTTCGTCCCGCTGTTGGATCAGTTCTTTATCCAGAAACATCAGAACTTCTATGAGTGCAGAATTATGCAGCTACTGGAGAGATGGAGAAAGATCATCGAACAGAACGGCACATATACATTTGTATGTATATGTATAAATATGTATATTGATTAAATGTAATTTCTTGTAAATAAAATTATTCTTCAATTTTTGTCAAATGGGACGAACTTTTACATCGACCCAATACATTTATATGTATACATAACTGCAAAAAATATAGCAATAGCCTCAGATAGGTCAAAATGATCCTGCATTCGCTGTACGAGGAATAATAACGCGAGACGAAAAATATCTAATTAATTCTAAAAAAATCTAACGCAAAAACAAGTAAAATGATAAACGCGAAAAAAAATAAAAATTCTGATGTCAATAAAAGCTATGATGTATTATTGAGTCGTTCGGATAGTTCGTAGAGTTTTGAGTGCATTATATCTTTTTATTGAATGAAGCAAAAATCGCTTGATCTGGTGAACAGGTACTATTGTACTTTCCAGGAGTGAATTAAGTGTAGTTACTGTACAAGTTAATTGTACCTTTTTTTTCTGTGATAAATACGGACGAAACCTATGTATAAGCACAAGGTACATTTTCATTACGTTCTATGAAACTTGTAAAATAATTACCTTACTTTGATTAGAACAAGAAATGTTTAGGAAAGTAAATCTGCACGATCATATTGTACAACCTATTTATACGAACCGTTCAACGTGACGGTCACCACAATTCTTCAGACACTTCTGGTAATTTGACAAAGAAATGTTATGAACAAAAGTTAATTAGCACTCAATCGGCAATAAAGTGCAGTATTAAAACTTGCCAAAAAAGTTTTCTTCAATAAAAGATTAAGGTCACCTTCACTTTTTTAAATTACGCCATGTTATTTTTTTGTCCGGTATAGTAAGTAAAACTAAAGCAAATTCCACGATATCATATGAAGTTGTTTTTTTATGAATAATTTTCTTAGAAAATCATTGTTCCGTCGTAGACCGAAACGACGGCTATAGAATCAGACGGTACCGTTACTTTTTATTATTTTATTTTCTTCATTCAAGCAATTTTAATTTCGTTGACAGAAAGAGAATAATAGACAAAAGAAGCGAACATTTGGTCTGCAGTCCGCCACATGCGCTCGGTAACCTGGGACCCATCCGCGCCGGGCCTTACCAGGGCGCGCTGACTCGCAGACAATACAGCCATAAACCCTACCGTTGAGAGACTCGAAAATTCGTCGCGGTCAACTCGCACCGTGACCACGTGCGCGATATTTTCCTGCCGTCCGCTTCGCCCTGAAGGAGAGGTTTTCCACCTCCACGTCGTTTGGAAAAACCGAGAAATTTGCCTTCCCCTTCAGGGCATGACCAATAAGTAGGCGAGTTTTGGTAACGCCTTCAGCGAACTTTGAGGAAGCACGACGTCACACGAAACTCGAACATTCAGTCGCAAACACTCATTCGAAAAGATTCATTCGCAAGCACTCAGTCGCAAACACTCATACGAAAGGATTCAGTCGCAAACACTCATTCGAAAACATTCATACGCAAACACTCGGTCGCAAACATACACTCGCATTCGACAAGTCGTACACGAACATACATCCGCATTCGAACATTCGTACTCGAACATTACCACGTACTCGTATCGACAAGAGTCAAACGGACTCAATTCATTCGCAAAGACTCGGTCGAAAACATTCATTCGACAACAATCATTCGAAAACACGCACTCGTTACGACAAGAGTCACACGGACTCAATTCATTCGACAACAGTCACCTCACGATTCGTCAGCTCCAACGGTCGAGCAATTATATTCGTTTTTCTCACCAGAGAATATTGAAACAGTTGCCTAATATTAATTTGGCGGGCAACAGTCGCAACCGGACGTGTACCACGACGGTCGAGCCTGGAATTTACAACTCCAGGCTGATTCGAAAGAGAAATCCACGCGGACGGACGCGACAATCATGGTCTCTATTAACACGTTGACTGCCACAGTGAAAAAGACCGTACGTAGCCAGACACACATTGTTTCGTTTTTTAAGTCATAACCACGTCAAAAATACATACGTTCATTTAATAGACGCTGTTGAACTTGTTATAAATTATACTGTGATATTAATTTTATGCAAAAATTTTGTAACGGTATTCAAACAATCCAACTTCTTTGCAATATAGTACGTGTCATCCATATTTAGGTGATGTGGCAGTCAAAGTGTTAATGCGTGAGACAAACATGAATATAACTCAGTGATGCTTGGTAAATGAATGTAAATAGTAAACATACTTCTAATAAATTCAACCTTTCGTTCATGGTGCGTAAACGTATCATTAGTGAACGCCGAATAAGAGCTCAAACTGCATGCCGCCTTCATGAACGTTTATTATATGTATGTGTTAAGAGGGTACATGGTCATTAGATGGCTAAAATTTTTAGTTTCCGTTGGAGTAGATTGAAGAGTGTCATAACTGAAACCATTTGCATGTTTTAAAATTCTTTACTGTGGATATAACACGTATTTTAAAACCAAAAAACTTCCACAATATAAAAATATAAGGGAAATACGAAATGCCAAATTGGATGCTGCGTGTTTAGGTGGTGAACATTCATGTACATATTCTTTGACTCAACATCTACAATGTGGTACTTTGTTGAAAAAAATTAAGAAAAATGTAAGCTTTTCCCGAAATAATTCTCTAAAGGGTGTTTAGTAAAATTTGTCAAGGTTCTGGGATTTTAATAATCGAGTTCTGCCTTGTAGATTTTGAATCAGAATATTTACTGATTGACGATGATTTTGCTTTCACGTGAGTCATTCAACTTGAACGATATTTCCCACCCGAACGTGCAGCGCCCACTTTTGGCGCTTTATATTTCACGTAATTATTAATATTTTAGAGGTCTTTTCGTTTTAAAATACATGTTCTATCTACATTGGACATAAGAAAAATATTAAAGATCCCTACTGTGGAACAGGAAATTCGCTAATGCACACCAGCACAGGATTGAAAATCATAAAAACCAATTTGCCAAAAATTTTTACTCCGGTTTACCCAGAAAACTCAAAAGGAAACACCCAATGGATCTATTTACACCTAACAATTCACAAATAGTTAAATACTAGAACACCTTCACTTTTAATCAATTTTTTCTATCCTCTTTATTTTTCTTCTTCTTTTCCTTCGTCATAAATACAACTAATATTGATTTACTCTAGAGATTATAGATCAATAGTAATGAGTCGAAATCCGCACGTTATTTTCGAAATACTAGCATAAAATAAATGTAAGTAATTGTAAGTATACAAGTAGGAACATTTAATAAAAGAAAATACAAAAAGAAATATCCACACTGAAGAATTATGAACCGTGCAAATGATTTGAGTCATTAGACGCTCTTTAATCTAACCCAAAAGGAACCATTCATTTTAGCTGTCTAACGCCCATAAACATAATCCCACTTAAGAAGAATCTTATTAAATTCAAGAATAATTGTCCAAGCAAATTATTCACGGAAAAACAAGTTTATATGACATTGTTGAATTTTTCTCGGTGCCATCTACAATACTCGATAAAAAAACTTATACAGCGCCATTCAGAAGATTGAAAAAATTATTTTTATATTAGATTATTGAAAAAAAATTTCTTGGCAATTTTTAATACTGCAGTTTATTGTCGATTTAGTATTCTTTAACTTTTGTTCATAACCTTTTTTGGCCTGCATTGTAACTATTATATACATATATCGTATCGATGCTCGGTTAATGTCGTTCATATGCTGGAAATATGGTACTGTTTAGTGGAACACAACCTTAATATCTCGCATTAGCAATCAAGAGGCACGATGTTATAGGAGAAAGGAGGGAGTAAGTACTATACGATCGATATCGTACGTATCGAAAATGAAAAAGTATTTAATCCAGTACGTCCACTGCTGTGGAGAGTAGTCAGCCCACGGCGTACGTGTGCCACAAAAGTATACCGGACTGAAATGGTTAATTACAGTAAAACTTCATTTATCGAAAAGAATTTTGTCACAGTACTCGGTTTACCAAATATAATACTGAGCTCGTATTATCTGAAGGTCGCGTACCGCATACATACGTATACGTACTCCTGTCGTAAATGCTGTAATAAACCGGCTTAAGGCACAGTTAAATTCAAATAATACTTAATAACATAAAAGATCTTTTATAGTTATGAAATCAGTAAATTATTATTACCTGGGGTGCACCGTATCAATTTTTACCGCATTAAAACACATAAGCATTTTAATATGAATAAGATTTTTTGATATGTTGCAAGTTGCCGCCTGTACGGAAAGTTTATTACATGTTTTAATCAAGTTGCAGAAAAATGCATTTCTTGTTATATTTCTAAAAAATCCTTTACTTTATCGAATTTTGATTGTGTGCGTGTTCTGTCACATATGTGTGTGTATTTGGGAGTATCTTGAAGGAGAATGGAAATATTTCGATAAAAAATATTTTAAGATGTTAATAAATGTAATACCCAAAAATTGATTCATAATTATTCAAAATGAAGGTTGTGATTTTTATAAGGCAATAATTTGATCAGAGTAAGTTTTTTTTTTGTTACTTTTAAGTTGCTTTTGTCGTGTATAATGTATATGTATAGGTAAATATGTAAGCCTTTAATTGTTATACAAAATCTGTAACTTGACTTTTTTAAATTGTATTTAACTGCTCCAAACTTGTGAATCGTAGTTTAAATACAAACAAATGAGTTGAAAACCATTCATATGAATATTGGCTTCTATTATGCGAACTTATAATCAGTTGTGGGGGGAGGGATCAGTGGGCTTCTATTGTATGATGGAGTTCTGCAGTTATTTGAATTGACTTAATCTTGACCTATTCAAATAAATGAAGTTTTACTTCATGATGTGATGTCTCGGGAAAAAATGATCCTCTATGGAGTAAAATGAAATACATATGTAAATAGTAACTAAATTAATTGTAGTAAATATAACCAACTAAAGTAGTAGTGACAAATACTATCATACATCGTTTTTTTACAAAAACACATATTTACCGCATTTCGTGTCTAATGAGCCATTAATCTATCCAAATGAACCACAGAAGACTTTCCGTTCTGCACATTGACAACTTTTGTTATAAATACAATGCATCGTAATATCGATTGGTTCTATTCATTCAATAGTAATATCCAATAATACAATTATTCAATAGTAGTATTCATGCTGTTTATTTTTTATGGATTCCATAGCCAGCTTTATATGACGTAATTTTTTGTTAACAAAATGGATATTTCCGTTCTTGTAAATATTGCGCAATGCACACTCTAAATGTATATAATATATGAATTTTGCTGTGGGTCATCGAGAATCCACGTGATACGACCGGAGAGTCATGTAACAAAGCCTGGGCCTGGAGCGAGTTTAGCAAAACTGTGAACAGTACTTGAGATCAGGTTCATACTGAAATATCGAGATACAATCTACTGTTACGCAAATTGTAGTATTTACATAGCTTAAATCATTTTTTTTTAAACATTCGTTTTTTCAAAATCTAGTAAGTGATTCAACTATTAAAAACTATGCAAGTATTTATTATATCTAAACAAATTTGATTAAACATCCGTTAGAGCATTACGTCAGGAAAAATGTAGAGAGCTCATATCTGTTGCATAACTTCACGGATATTTATTAAATTTTTGCAACGAAGTTCCACCTTGTACATTTTGAGTCAGAGAATACTTATATGTATACAACGATTTTGCTTTCAGATAAATTTACCTTCAGTTTGCTGAAGCAATATTTTATATTCATTCTTATTATTGTAAATAAAATATACATTTCTTCCTTGTTACGCACACTCCTATTGTTTCCTTGGATTCTCATTCCTAATGGATACTGATGCAATGAATTGACTATCATTGAAAAATCTATTTCTACTCTGTTAAATTTTATTTAACTTGATTATTGTTATTATCGAAAGTCTAATTGATAATGAAGGTCATATTTGATTTTCTTAACATGCAGTTCCTTTAATCTTCCTCATGGCCATCAGTATAGATTGAATATCAAATATTAAAAAAAGAATTTTACAATCAACAATCTGCCCACTAATCAACTATACATATGTAGTTGTGAGAGAAATATAGTCACTGTCAGAACAAATATTAAAAGATGGAATTACTGAAAGCATTTGGAGCAAACATTATCCGCACACGCCAGATCGTAACAAATAACAAATCCGCCTTACAGTCGAGAGAACGGAATCCAGTGGGACGGTACGAAATTCAACGTACGACAAGGGTGATGGAGGATCTGGTACAACGGTTGTCCTGAATGCCTGCGGCGCATCCTCGGGATTAAGGCGAGGATTTTCCACCTCGCATGGATACTTCCACGACGGTTCTCAGAGGAAATCATCCAAGGTGAGAAAGTGTAATCAAATATCGTCAGAATTTGTGAGAATATGTCAGTATCGTCGTACATTTTAAATAATTTTCAATCGACTGTCCATCAAATTTTCCGAGATAAATCTGCCCACGACCGTGAAATTCAATTTCATTTTAAATTTAAAGTTCCTCAGTGTGTACATTGACAGAAATATTCCTGCTTTAACATTTTAGTGTTTATTATTTTATATCAAAATATCTGACAGTAGAATATAATTGTAGCAATTTAAAAAAAAATATGTTTCTTTTTTAGCCTAATAACTAAAAATTGTTGATATTAATTGGGGTAGGTACTGCTATTATACTACTGTTTACAAATAATCGAACATTTAGTACCAATGACAAAAACAACTTTCGTTACATTCTTATGGATTCAGCAGATTATAAATTTAAGTCATTTATTGAAAATGTTATTAATAATGTGATAAGATGAAATATGGAATTCATTGCTTCGCCTAATTTTTATCTGACCTATGACTTGCTAGAAAAGAAACTATTCGAATACGAAAAATTTTTCTAATAACAAAACAGTTTTATTAGATGTGAAACTTACGAATGTCATTTTTTTAAATGAGAGTGTATCACTTTAGGCGTTCCGAGAATGCATGCTTAATGAAAACTGGTAGTGTACTATCTACGAATGGAAACGTGATTGATGGAACCTAGCGGTTTGAGAGATACGACGATTGATCCCCTAATCTTGCGAATAACTCTGAACGGTGTACAAAGTTTACGTAAACCAAATTATCTAAATTAAAACAAACGTTCATGACAATATTGTTTTCTTCATTCCCAATTAGAAATTTTATTAGGGTGGTGAGAAATAAACATTTTTAAAAATATATTTATCACTTGGTTTAATGCATGTACAGTGACCCACAAATTCGTTCGCAAACGTTCGAAGTAACAATTATGTGTAAAGACTTTTATATAATTCCTGTTTATGTATCCCCATTATCCTTACTTTTATCATTTCTATGCGATCGAAATTCCCAGTTTGGTACGTAATTTGGTCACATAAATGTGACAATCTTCGGTAAACAAATTTTGTTGTAGAGCAACAAAAACATGAGATTATGCTATTCAAATAGGAAATACAGGTTTTTGTTACATCCTCCGTCGGGAATTAAAGATTAATCTCTACTTTATTCTCAATTTCACTGTATTATACGCGCTGTCTACGTCATGCATCTGAAAAATTCTTGTTATAATCACTGTACTGCGAAAAGTTTATGATTAAACCGCGAATTTGTGCATTTGTCGCAAATATGAATATGTAAAAGACAATATACATGAAATTTTAATTAATGACTAAATTATAATAAAACCTTTATTAATTAAAGTAAATCTCTGGCGTAGTTCCAGTTCAGAATATTCTATAAAAATCTGAATTTTTAAAAAGTTCTGCAGTCTGTCGATCAGAAATATTACTACAAAAACATAAACACAGAAAAATGAGAATGCAGTAAAAATTTTGTTTCATAATTTCATAATGAAACCTGAAGAGATCAATTCGATAGTTTCACCGATGTTCTTAATGGATCGAGAAAAATTGAAAAGTTCTTGCAGCTAAGAAAGAGTATAATGTAATTTTCTTTAGAATAGATAAATTATGATGACGAAAAATAGAGAAGTAATTTTTATTGATTGAGAGTAATTACAATCGCTTCACTAATATAGCAAACACAACTTTAAGGTTTTATTACTAAAAAAATTGAAGTAAATTGGGCATGGCTCCCCAACCTGCACATTTAAATTTTCGTTTTAACCATGAAAATCACTTTCCTCCATTAATTTACTAGAAAATGATAGGAAAAGCCACTGCAAAGTGCGTTAGAATCGTCTAAATTGGTTTATCCTAGATTAATACAATTATGAAATGCCCGTGCCCTAAACGATGTAATGAAAATAGGGCGTCCATTATCTGTATTAATTCAGCGCCAAATTTAATTACACGTTTAGTAGTTTTACCGAAACGGAAAATTAAAAAATTCGTGCTTCACATACTTGCGACACTGATTCTGAGTGAGATCGACACTAAATTCTCGTACATAACGTGACATGCATTATTCGTATTTAAAAAGTATGTATGATTACAATAAATTAAAAAAAAAATTATTAACCCCGCCAAGATCACAATACTATACGCATGATTTTCAAAGGAACTTCATGCGATCTTCGTCATATTGAGGTAACACTCACGGTAATCGAATTTCAATGACTGTACCTAACGTGAAACAAATGATGTTGGACACGCATGGATAACTTTATGGAAACGGACTAAAAGTTTTGCGATTAATGCACCTGCGTACAACTCCAACCATTGGTAGAGCAATAAGTTTCAAACTAACGGTCGCGGGGAAAAGGCGTTTCTGTGTTATGAATGAAGTAATAGTGAAGCTAAAGAACTATTTCTGAAGAAGAAGAGAATGGCCTCTCCCGGGAGAGGCAGGGCTCCTGCAAAGGCGTTAGCACGCCGCCGACCCGCGTCCTCCTCACCGCTCACCTTATGCCACGACCGGGATCGGTTCTTTCCCGATCCCGCTGTATTATTTCATAGGCGACTTTATTAGAAAATGTACCACTAAACGTTCGCCAAATGATGTGGTTACAGCACGACGGGTGTTCAGCACATTATGCTCGGAGAGTAAGAGATGCACTGAACAAACTTTACTCAAATAAATGGATAGGACGTGGAGGATTAGTTTCTTGGCCACCTCGTTCTCCAGATTTAACCCCATTAGATTTTTTTCTCTGGGGAGCATTGAAATATGCTGTTTATCAAGAAGTACCCACTACACCAGAAAATACGAAACAACGGATAATTGCAGCATGTGCTAGAATAAGTTCAGAAACGATAAGACATGCACGTGATGCACCGACACGAAGATTGCAACTTTGTATTGACGCAAACGGTCACCACTTCGAGCATTTCCTGTAATGTAAGAAAGTTTATTTTACTACCACATTTGACGTTGCATGACCTTCAATGATAGCTCGCTGCAGTCGTCTCAACGCCGGCTATCACATCGCGATAAAAAAACATAACATTCCATTAAAAAAAATATAGATGACCTTGAAATCTCCTCTATGCCTTCACCCACGCAGAAAATGTTTGTGTGACAATATGTCCTCCACTACGCCGTGTAAGTTTTGTATATAACATTTTTTCATAATATTACAAATAACGGCAATATTCAAAGTGGACATAGTTATTGCCCCACCCTGTATAGTGGACTCTTACGATATTGCCACTAGGAATATTGCCACCCAAGGCACTTCTCCTTCACACGTACATTCACACACACACATTCACTGTCCCACCACGTTGCGTATGCTGTCATCTCCAGCACGATCCAACTGTTGTGCAGACACTGAAGCCGGGGCTATGGTGGCAGAACTTAACACGGAGAGGGCTCTCGAATGATCGCCATTTTATTGACCTACAGCCCCGAACATAGCAATATCATAAGAGTTACTGTACCTGTCCCTTACTACAATCCCAAATCTGCAGGTCATTCGCGAGCGTTGACGACGCTACCGAAGAACAGGTAGTGGGTACATACTACATACATCCACTCGTTGTTTACACATTTTTCTTACATTTCTTTCCCTTGCGAGGGATTCGAGTAAGATTTTCTTACAATGAGTTTCAATGGCGTTCGTCGATGCAAACACATCTAGTTAACGAAAAATACACTTCGTATATTTCATACAGTATTAATTTAATTTATTTACGTAATTTTTGTATTGTATGATATTAATTAAGTATATTGTAGCAAGTTTTAATTTATTTTAAATTATTTTCTTTAATGTCCATTCTGTGTGTATGCTGCAATCTCCTTTGTGGATTTTAACGAGTAACCAGGTTTAATGTCGTGCAGCAATTTCAGTGTGCATTTTTATGAAGTGTTGCATAAAGATAGGCCAGGCATGAGGACAGGTGTGATGCATCACTTTTGTGGCTATGAGGTACAAGCGAATTTTTTTAAGGGTACGGTAATGTTTGTGTCGGCACGGTTATGCCCTTCGCTCACTGCTACTGTGCAGATTGCCTGGTTTCAGGCGTTTCTGACCCCAATTTTTAACAGTTAACGATTTAAAAATGAAGACTCCAACACAATTTCATCGTTCTTAATTTTCGTTATATTTTAACATACAGAATCGCCCATTAAAGTTTCTAACGATTGGCCGAACATCCTGTACAGGAGCTGCATCGTAACTGTATCCCCGATTATTGAACCACTTGTTAAAAAATTAATATAACCAAGAATTAACATATAGTAGTAAATTTCAGCTGCTGCTAGATTGCATTAATTAAAAGCTTTTAATATTATTTTGTTTAAAAAACGTGATCACCTTCGTCTTTTTAAATGGTACCTACCATATCAGATACTCCTATCAGTTTTATAGAGGAGCTCAAAACAAATCGAACCATAAGTACGTTAACGTATGCACATTTAGCATACTGCAACGAAAAATCGTACGAAGTTTGAAATATTGTATTCTTGACATAAGCATAAACAATTGAAGAACAATAAGTTTGAACGTCTGCTCGCAACTTCTGGACACATTATGGTTTTCACAATATGCAGTACTTTTTTGATAAGCGGTAGATTAGGTTTATTCCTATTATTTAATTTTTTTGGGTCCTCCTTGGAATTAGTCAATCCAAATTATCCATATAACCCGTCAACAACTTCCCCTCCACGAGCCGACAGCTGAACGTTAAGAGTCGAAACAAGATTAAAGACAAAGTATTTAAAAAATTTCATTTTTTCTTCAAATTAAGTGATGAAATTATTTATTGTTTATTTCAAGTATTATTAATTTAACCAATAATAATTACATAGATCAAAGGGAAAAGTGTATAGTTGCCAGTGAGAAATTAAGGTGTTAATTTTTTTAACCCCTTACCTTACAACATCGAGTCAGACACGTGATAACGATTTCAAACTGAATTTAGTAAACACGTATATTATTCGTTTTCTTTGAGTCGGCATGAAATACTGTTCCGCTGGTATAAACGCTTAAGGTTTCGAATACACGTAACATTTGCCATAAGAAGAGAATTCCGTTTATATCTCAGAAAATATTAACGATAAAGATATTTTTCAGAGTGAAATCGTAAAAGAAATCGTATGGCAAGGGATTAAGGAAGTGGACTTGTTTATAGATAGTACAAATCTATTGATTGTGTAGAATACACAAGCGAAATATTATTTTTTAATGTCAAAGATAAAAGGAGCAGTACTCATCAGAAAAGTAAAAGACGTGGCCTATTAAGGACTCGCTTCGTTCGTTTAATAAAATTTTCATGAACAGAAAACCAAGCATAAAAAAGTTTCATTGCTGCGTTAGCGGTGTTTCGGAGCTCTTTAAATGTGTGAGCATTTAAATTCTAGGTCATGGTTTTGAACGTGTATTAAAGATACGCGTATACACGTGTATTAAAAACTACACTGATTAAAACATGAATATATTAATTACGCACGTACACATGTATTTAAATACACGTGAAATAGAGATCTTTAATTTAAACCGTTGTCGGTTGCTTCTAGCACAGTCCCTCTTTCTCTTTCACTCGCAATCCGTTTCTGCGACCGTCGAGTCGTTGCCGACAAAATACAAATACGTGCTGCCAAGGTTCAACACAAACTTTATGACATGCAAAATTCATCGACTGTTTCGATAACCGTTACAAATCGGACCCGAAATTTTCACATTTATCAAGAAACTACTGTACTACAATCTAATTGAATTATTAGGTCGATAAGAATTAAGTGACTGATTTCCATTCGTAGTCTTACAATTTTATATAATTTGCATAGATTGAATACGTTCTATCATCTCTAATTAGTGTTGTATAAAGCTCGAGTCTTTGAAGCTACAAAGCTTAGCCTTAAAGACTAAGTCTTTAAGGCTACAATCATATGAAGCTCGAGGCTCAAGGCTCGAGCTCCAAGGCTCGAGTCGTCGAGGCTCGAGGCTCGAGTTTCAAGGCTTTGAGTAGTCGAGACTAGAGCCTCGAAGCTCGAGGCTTTTATGTTTAACACGTTCACTGCTTAGCGTGTTTCTGCTGGTTTTGTCTTCAGCGCCAAAGAGTAGTGTTGTATAAAGCTCGAGTCTTTGAAGCTACAAAGCTTAGCCTTAAAGACTGAGTCTTTAAGGCTACAATCATATGAAGCTCGAGGCTCAAGGCTCGAGCTCCAAGGCTCGAGTCGTCGAGGCTCGAGGCTCGAGTTTCAAGGCTTTGAGTAGTCGAGACTCGAGCCTCGAAGCTCGAGGCTTTTATGTTTAACACGTTCACTGCTTAGCGTGTTTCTGCTGGTTTTGTCTTCAGCGCCAAAGAGTGATTGCCCATTAGAATCATATAATAATATATTACACAATATGATTATATGTATTGTGCAAACTTATCATGCGTAATACATTAATCTTGCTGCCGGTCATCTATGACTCCCACGGCGTAAGAGTATGTTTCCAGTCGATCAGATAATACTATATTTTGAACATTACAGACAAATTTTTAGCAATGTTTCATTTCGTCTACTATTCAATGGTTATTTTGTTTCATTTTTCATTTCCCTTTCTTGGTATCAATCTCTCATGTGTTTGCAGTCATCGCTGTATTTTTTAAAAACTGTATAAAGTATAATATTATAGATTTAGTGTAAATTCCATTATTTAACACTTAAGGGTTCTAGAGGGTTGAACCTTAAAGCTTCAGACTTAATGTGGAATAACACAGTGACGATTGGCAAAAATTAAGTTTTTTATATATATACTTTCAAAGTATAATTTTTCGAAAATATTCTACCAGAATATTAAGTCGAATATCACGTGAATAACGAAAAAAATGTCCCAACTTTGATCAATGAACCGTGAACAAATTGAGAAATTATTTTGTTCGACGCGTAACATCCTATGACTCGTATATCTTGCTCAAGTATACATAGGTATTTTGTAATAAAAGAAAATTTAACGTATTGTCCAAAATATATATTTGATCACCCTATTAATAATAATTTAATGAGGTTTGGGTGTTGTAGACCTAATTTATAAAAACCACGCTTTTCTGGACGTTTTTGGATTATTCCCCCTTGAATCTTTAAAAGCTTGAGATTCGTGTAATATTAGAGTTAAAAACTGAAAACTTTTAGGTTAAGTTTTAAGGCTTCGAAAATTCAAGGTCTGTACATTACTTCACTACATACAATTTATACGACTCGAGCCTTCAAGCTTAAAGGCTCGAGCGTTAAAGACTCGAGCTTTCACGACTCAAGCTTCGAACCTTGAGGGTTCGAGCCTTTAGGGTTTGAACCGCGACTCGAGCTGTTAAAGCTCAAGACTCGAGGCTCATTTTAACAACACTATCTCTAATACATATTGTTTGTTATATGGCGAAACTTGATGTTTCATTTATTTTGAAAATTCCAATAAAAATATTAAGGAACATTGATTCACATACTCTAGATAAACAAAAGATGAAAGAACTTGTATATTAATATCAATAGTTTCCTCATATATACATATTTTCATAGTAGCCAAAAAAAATAAACTGAACTGCTGAATTTCTTCGTCGACTACTTCTTAAGCGGTCGAGTTAAATGGAAGATCCACTACATTAATTGCAAATTGTCGACTCAGATGTATCGTGCCATCCATTGTGTTCGATAATTAACAATTTACTTAATCCCTTGACTGAAAAGGTGCGCGTCCCGAGGACAGGAGTCTCCAGAGTGATGTCTGGGAAATGTCAAGGATCAGAATGTCCGCCCGAATCAAGGATACAAGTCAGGAGCAACGGAAGCAGTTATTTGACGAGAGACGCGAACGAGTCTATCAGCGAGGAACAACAAGATTCCGGATATCCGTTTGGAAGGCAACACGCGATACGTAGTAATTACGTGGGCAAGAGTATAGAGGCCAAGAAGAAGGTATGTGAAGTGGCGATTGAGTTTACTTAAAATACCAACAATATGTACAGGAATGAAGTAATTACTTAATAATGACAAAAAAATTGAAAAGGATCAAAGGCTTATATTTATTAATTTTTTGCTTTAAAGTACTTCAATATTTCAAATATAGTAGTACCAGGCAAATAGAAATTTGTTCTAATATGTAATGTTAACTAAAACAGAAGAGCAGAAGAAGAATGTATAAGGTAACAAAAATTTATTTGTTTGAAACCAAAGCAAGAGACGACATGATTCCTATTGTTCTATACCAGGTGTTAACAGTTTAACAAAACTGTTCTCGATAGTAGAACTCACTAAATCTCTAATGAATAAAGACTTGATTGTAAACGTAACTCTCCGGTAGCTACTGTTCTCCAATAGATATCCCTTCTACTCTCGGGAATATAATTCACAAGGATCCTATTCTCAAGTGGGCACGTAGCACTAAGTCACATGTGCACCAGAGTTACTTTATCATTATTAGATGCTTGCACGAATTCCCATTTCCCAGAAACTAGAATTCTTTTCACACAAATTAAAATAAAAGAGCAATTCATTTCACCGATTAAAGGATTGATCATGTTGAGAAACTAAAAGAAAAACTTCTTTGTCTTCTACAATTAACAGGTTAAAAATAATGTCTGGACATTCATTTTATTGGAAGAAACGTTATTTTTCGTTAATTTAAAATTGTGTGGACCACACGAACTAGGAACTAACAAGGGAAGTTCGGTAACCCGAAAATTCCAATTCGTTTTAAACTTTGCAGGTTTGTAGGAGACCTCGAGGGAAGTATAGCGCAATGTTTGTTTTTGGCCCAATTTCAGTTCTTCAGGGTGAAAACATCCCTTGAAAGTAGATAGGTGTTTCCACATTTCCCTGTATATCTTTAAAACTATCGTAGATATAAAAAAATGGTTATAATAAAAAATTGAATGGTTTTTTTATGCTCTATGAAACGATGCAATTAAATTGATAATTAATAAAAGTGGAGGAGATGTTTTTATTTAAACAAAGAATTTTTATCAATTTATTTGCATCGTTTTATAGAGCATAAAAAACCATTCAATTTTTATTATAACCATTTTTTTATATCTACGATAGTTTTAAAGATATACAGGGAAATATGGAAACACCTATCTACTTTCAAGGGATGTTTTCACCCTGAAGAACTGAAATTGGGCCAAAAACAAAAATTGCGCTATACTTCTCTTGAGGTCCCCTACAAATCTGCAAACTAAAAAAAATCGGAATTTTCGAGTTACCGAACTTTCCTTGTAAGAAAAATTGAAAGAATACTTAGCCGAACGGTTACACCTGGAACGTAACAGTTGATTAGCTGAAGCTGTTGTAGCACACGAGTACATGAATTACAGGTGATCAGAATGCTGTTTGTAATTGTGCTGGAGTTCTTCATCTGTTGGGCACCGTTGCACGTGATCAATACCTGGTATCTTTTCGCCCCAGAATTGGTTTATTCTGTGGTTGGGAGTACAGGCGTCAGCTTGGTGCTGTTACTCGCATACGTATCCAGTTGCTGCAATCCAATCACATACTGCTTCATGAACAGGAAGTTCCGTCAGGCGTTCCTGGGCCTTTTCAACTGTCATCGTTGCTGGAGGTAATCGATCGCGGCTTACACCATCATTACCTTTCTGTTCTTTTCTTTGTTGAACGGACCTATTAACATCGGCTAATTGAAACTGTCCCATTTGAGTAGAGTAACAGTTCTGTTATGCGGATTGCACATATTTATTTCTGATTAAGTAATGGATGTTTGCGCGAATTCGTACTGTTATACGTATATCTATCAATTGACAGAGACAAGAGTTATGTAAAATTTTTCTTTGTTATTAAGAGTGTCGGTACACAGAGAATTATTTGTTCTTGTCATAGAAATTTACTATCAATACTGCATTGAGTAGTATGAGTAAATAGGATGGTTGGAATACGATCTCATTTTCGATAGCCATTCAGTGTTGTCTACCTGTCATAACGGTGAAGCATGTCAAACATAGATGTGGGTCAATTGTCTGAATATCTATAGAATTCATGAATCAATAGATCAATAGATTTGACAAATTGAATCAATTCTGTTTCGTTTTTACTAAATATTTACAGTAAATCCTCGATGAGTGTTCGAAGGATACACCGCACTGAAACCTCGTTAAAAAGTCAGCGTTACACCTCGGGACCTCTTCTTGTCAGTGTCAAGGACCCTTCGAATACTCATCGATGATTTACTGTAGCTATGAGTGTAGGTAATTAAGCTTGTAATGACAATAATATAATGAAGTTTCTTAACCGTCGTGTACTTTAACCCAAATTCAGACTTTAATCTTTAATTATATCCTTTATCAGAGAAACTCTCTAAATTAAGTTGACAAAAGTAGTTTACATATAGAGTGTTAATAAAAATTTGAGATATTCACAAAATGAATTCTATACGCCAAACTAAGACGAAAATCAAGTATGACGAAATTACGTACGAGTCTCGTTTCCAAGTTATCAATTCTTGAAAATACAGGCAAAATGCGCGTAAAATACGTCTGGCGCTGTGGGTTATATTACGTGAAAAGCTGATTACCAGCTGTTACACGAGGTCGATCGATGACCTAGTTAAATTTATGAATGAAATACAATTGAATGAATGAAACCAACTCATGAAACAATTGAAAAGCACACCTCTCGAGTAGCATAACCCTTCGTTTTGAACGTATTTTACGCGATTACGCCTGTATTTTCAACAATTAATAACTCGGAAATAAAACTTCTGACTTATTTTCGTGGTTCTTGATCTTCGTCTCAGTTTTACATGTAGAACCCACCTTGTGAAAATGTCCCTCCATTTTTATTAACAATAAAATTAAAATTAACAAATACTAATAAACCCTGTATATCTTATAGGACCATTCCAACCAGCTCAAAAATTTTTATTTTACACAGCAGTTTATATTTTCAAATTATAGTTCACTTTTGAATGAAATAAATGTATTATGTATAACATTAAAAATGTTCATATATGTAGGTACAAAACTTAAAATTAATGTTTCGTGCAATTTTGTTTTTAATAACATCCATCGTGTCTGTGAACAGCTCAAAGAGGATATGTGTTACGGAACCAGTTTGAAAAATACTTCATTAATATGCAATGATACTTCATAAAAGCGCTACACAGAATGCATTTCGCATACAAATAAAGGTAATTATGTGCTATTTCCGTGAAAATCTGTCCGTTTAAATTTCAGAGTAGGATGCAGACACAGCGAGATCGCCATGACGTCGACGAGGAACGCGATACAAGCCGCAAACAACAGTGAAATCAGTGGAAACGAATCGACAATTTACCTTGGGAAAGCTTCGCTTGTTGCTAGATCCGGTAATACGCTTCAACTTTTTATTAATATAGCTTACAAACCCATCAATTATCTCTTTCGAAACTATTTTGCCAATTATAAAACGAACATTCGTTCGAATACTGGCGCTAAATCGATGACAGCGTTCTGCAAGCACCAAATTCTACTTTCGGTTTTGCTTTTCAATTATAGAATAAACTACGATCAATACTTTATGTATTTATGTATTACATAGGTAGAATTATATTAATCGTAATAATTATTTGAATTCTATACATAAAAAATTCTCTAGAGCTCTTGCAGCCACATTCATGAATTTAATATTAATCAATAATTACACACTAATCCAATCTAATTAAACAATCAATCTAAGCACAATTAATAATAAACCTCACTTTATTGCAAATATAATTACTCCTTAATACTATTCTCGAATGTGAAATTTCTTTTAAATTATTTAGGGCGCACACGTTACCTATTTATTTTGTTAAAATTTTCTTTAATAATATTGTAATAATACTATTAAATAATATCGCAAATAACAGTCAATCCTTATTTGCACGCAATAAGGTTAAAGTACACTAAAAAATCTCTTCTTTTCATGCACGATATTCAGAATTCTATGTCAATATTCATTGTCAACGAAACACACTTAGATTGTGAAATATATAAACGGTTCATTTAACTGCAGAACGTGTGCAAATACCTTCAATGTATTTTCGAGGGGCAGGAAATTTTCATACCTTCCTTCGATCACTGGTTCACAAAGCAATAACTCCGAAATTGTATCCGCATACTTTCACACTTCACCGTGGGTCCACATTGTTGAGTTCCAGCAATACCGAGGTGCTAGCACAGAGAACTTGCCTTCAAGTTCATACGTTATTGATGTCGACTCCCGAACTCATACGTAGGACTATCCCATAAGTCCTATGTATTTCATCTTAAACCGCGACGAATCGTATTCCTTGACTTAAAAAGCATTTCGGTCGTTCGGGAAGTTCGTAGCATTTCGAGTAGTGCCTTCGTTACCTTCTTGCTGAACAAAACAAAAATCGTTTGATCTGATGAACAGTTTCCAGAAATGGATTGAATGTATTTGCTGCACAAATTTTTCTTTTTGTTTTCCGTAAGAAATACCGACGACACGTATGAACAAGCACAAAGTCCATTTTCATTACGTTGTATTAAACTTGTAAACAAATTACGCTACTTCGACAGGAAAATTTTATGGCATATACTATATACTCAATTAATTAGACTTTACCCTATCGGATGGTTATCTCTCTAGACCGCGAAAATATTCTGTATCGAGAAAAAAACTTCGGAAATAAAATTCGTCTAAATAGAAACAGGTTGAAGAATTCTTTTAGCCAATGCAATCGAAGTTGGATGATGTCTGGAATGATGAAATTAATTGGAAAAATGGAAAGATATTCTGAAAAATAGTAGTAAACAGGGATTGATGTAAGTTGGAAAATATAGATTATAACTCTACCCTTAAAAACGCTACGAATTTTCCAAAAAATCGAATATTATTAAACTGTGTATGTTTATCGAATTCATGTTATAATACTAGAACCAAAGCTCTCTTGATGATTTGTTTAACACTTTGACTGCCACATCACCTACATCAAGGTGACTCGTATTTTTGGTCGTACCCTGTAAATTAATATTTCTGATTAAACGTTCAACGTGATAAATTTAACTAACAAGAGACATAATCGTAGTGTAACACGCTGAATTTTATGCTATTTGGCACAGTAGTAATACATTGTAAAATATTTGACACGTATGTATTTTGTTTTAGCTGCTGACATTCACACCTAAGGGATAAAAACAGACTTCAAAGTTATAAAATTTATTGTACTATAGTAATCCTAATTTGCATTAGAAACTTCAATCCAAAAATTACAAGTCTACTAACAAGTGTACGCAACATCGGAAAAAAATTAATAAGTAAAATATGCAAAAAGTTAACAATTTGTAATATATTTTTTATACAGATTTTTGTTAACAAAGAGTTTTTCTATGTCGAATAGTTTACATGATATTGAGGAAAATGTGTTCTTCACCGCCAACTTGGGGGCTGTTTTCACCCTCTAAATATGAATGTCTGCAGCTAAAAAGGAATTTGTGTCAAATATGTTGAAATATACTACCTTTGTGCAAAATGGCATAAAAGTCGATGTGGTACTCTAATTAGAAAACTCAAAGATGTTAAAATAATTGAGATATAAGACTCAAGGATGTTAAAATAATTGAGATTGTAGTAAATGGCTGAGATTGTTACCGTTCTGTTGAATTACGTTCAGAGCCTATGGAGTTTCTATCGGAAGTGACGTGTTAGTCAAAGTGTTAAGTTCCGAATAAAATAAATAGTACATTGAACTTTCTTCGAGTTGTTAGTTCATCTATGTGCATTACGAAACCATTAACTATAACTATAATATACAAATAAAATAAATATATATAAATCAAACCATAAATAAAATTTTATGTAAGCATCTACTAGCTGATAATAAATTTTACTTGGGATCGAATAATTTCACATTTAATAAAAATGTGAGAAACTTTCGCAGGGTGGATTCTACACGCAAAAACGAGACGAAAATCAAAATAACAAAACTGCGTTGGAGGTTTCATTTCTGAGTTATTAATTGTTGAAAATATATCTGGTGCGATGAGTGATAGTACTTTAACAGCTGATTCCTAGCTGATACACGAGATCGATCGATATTCTAATTAAATTTAATGAATGAAATAAAATAAAATGAATGAAACCAACTCGTGAAACAATTGAAGAGCGTGCCTCTCGAATAAAATAGTCCGTTTCATCAGACGTATTTCGCTAGCATTTTCAACAAAATGAATTGAAAACAAAGCTCCGAACGCAATTTCATCATTCTCGATTTTCGTCTTAATTTGCCATGTAGAATCAACCCTGTGAAGGTGTTCCACATTTTTATTAACACCGTGTACAACGTGTGATGTATACGCGACACGTGGAAAGTGGAGCTATTCTGAAGTTTAAAAGTTTCAGGGGTAACTTTCTTTTCAGAGGTCATAAGACTCCTGGAGGAGGAAGATCGCGTCTAGTACAGGCGGTACACGTCCCGCAACGAAAATCCAAGATCAAACGTAATGTTACTTCAAAGTGGTAACGAGCTGGACGAGTTTTTCCTGAAAATATCTTGGCGTTCGTCCACCGACAGGGTTACTTTACCTAAAGACGAAACACGGAGCGATCGACAGTCTTGCTCATCGAGGTCATTTCGTACGAATAACCTCAATTTCCTTTACGACTGATAACGAAAGAGTACTTTAAGGACTTGTACATAACTAAAACAAACGTCTAGAGACACGTTTTGAGGAACATTCTTTGGAATAATTACTTTTCAAACATTTTCTCTACAGTAAAACTTACTTCTCACTCAAGATAGAATTACGTGATACCAGGGAGTAAGAAATCGATGAAATTTAAATAATCTACCAAGGATACTACAACGTTTAAGGCAACGCGTATTAAATTAATACATAGTCTATTATTTTTCTAATTATTCAGTCTGGTCCTAGCGTCTGACACGATTAACACTTGTAAATAGAACGGCGTTATCGATTTTTACTACGAAAGGCGAATCCAACTTGTCCAAATGTAGTTGTAAGAATTCCAAGAAACATTTAATTGTTAAGTGATAGTGATAAACAATAAAAATTGTAGAGAATATTTGTTATTTAATAAAAAGAAAGTTACTGTACATCATAAACATAAAATAGTACCTATATAATAAAAGTTCTGTGTAAACTGATCAACCCCAATAATTTCAAGTAAGTACATATTTCGTGTAATCTACCACTGTTTTAAATGTTCCGTTAAATGTGTTGAACAAATTTTATATTAGACATCCTTGAAGAAAGTAAAATTGATGAGGCAGATAATTTCATTTTTCACAGGAGAAATTCTCGTTTCGAGCTTCTTTTCTTCCCCATCTGAAACGTTTCTCATGCAAAGCAGACGTTTTAATCCCACGACACTGGAATGAGCCGCGGTTTATCGTTTCTGACGGTACCTACTGGAGAAAGGCGGGAAAATGGTTCGTGTCTGTGAACCTACACTGCGAGAATACTAAGTGACAATGATTATAAAATACAGGATTGTGGTCTATTTTACCCTCACTTGGAGGAAATAGCCTCATACTGAAACTGACTATGAATTTCAGTAACATTACATTGACGACAAAAGAAACGACTAATATTAACATATTTCTAGTTTTATCAACTATCTCGTATTATGGTAAATTTTATCAGTGTAAATTGTTAGAGATGGCTTTGTTATTAAAATACATTTATGGTCATGAATATTAAAGACACTTATGAAATGCAAAACAAACACGAAATGGTCGAGAAACCATTAGAAAATGATCGTTGCTATTGAATACATTATTGTGTGGAGAATATGTATTATAGCAATAGTTACACATTCGGTACCAGCTGCTTCATAGAGGATTTAAATGCCAGGACCAAAGATTTAAAGTCATGGCATGATTTAAATGACACCAAAAAATAGTTCATTATAGCAATCTCTTATCTGACCTTAATTGATCATCGTGCTCTATATAATTATGTTGACACTATGAACTATCAAACCCGTCAAAATGATGTAGTTCAGCTTGTTTTACGATCAATGAAATCATAAGGGTACATTCGTCAGAATTTACGTTCACCTTTAATTTATTATACAATTTATATATGTGTGTATATATTTATATATATATAGTATATATATTTTCATACGTGACCGATGCTCTTAATCACTTAATTCCGCTACGGAGGATTAGCGGCTGCAAAGAACAAAAGTGTACGACGGAACACGAACTATAAGTTACACATAATTTCACAAACGAGACCGTCAAAGTGGTTGTATCGACACAAGACTTTTCAAACGGGATTTTGACTTTGTAAACAAGGTTTTTTAAACGATTGATCGACTGTTTGATATTGACTGTTGGATCGGTGATTTAAGACAAACTGTCTGTTGTTTGTCTATTATTTGGCGGCTGAAAGGTATCCAGAATTTTCAGCAACTGTGGAAAAAATCTAAAAGGCAGTATGATTTTAGAAGAATCTGTAAAACGGCAATGAAAATATTCGAATGAAAGATTAACGTAATTGTAAAACATATAGCCGATGTTCGTGGTTCTGCGAAAGAATTAAATAGAAATATTCTGTCTACTCAAGTTTTCATCTTCTTCCATAATTTCTTTTTTTCAGTTTTTAGTATAATTCATATAATTTACAGTTTTTTTAGAATTATCTTTGACAGTAACATATTACCGTATCTCACGTATTCTTGCATTTACATTGCCTTATCACAATCCCTCTCCCCGGTTCATAACTGTGCGTATATGCTTTTATTAAATTAACAAAAACGTAACAAAAGAGTTATTAGCATTGTTATCAACAGAATTATTATTATTGCCATCGTTATCATTATAAGTTTGTAAATGGAGAAAGAAACAAGAACGTTTCAAGGTTTCGAATTTAACTAGATTTAGGCCTCATAATTCAAGTCTTTCAGCATTGTTCTCACGTGATAACATTTACATAACTACTTGCAGCAAATGCAAATTACTTGTTAGACAAGTGTACGGGCACAATGCCGGGGTCAAACGCGTTGTAGCGTAAATTAAGCAGGCATCGGGCGATTATCCGTTAAAATAACGTAACGCGAAGTTTCTCAGCAATCTGTACATTTCATAACTTGAGTAGCAGGGTTCTGAATAATTATTTTGATTAAACCGTCTCATTGACAGCGCAAAGATCGAAATGAAGTTCCATCATGAGAGCTGAAGCAATTTAACTGCATTCACGAAGCAATATTCCAATCGTGTTTTCGATCGGAGAATTAGTAGATTGCTATTTGTGCATCCCGATATTACACAGTTTAATCAAAATGTGCTGACAAAATGATTCAGGCATTCTAGCCGATAAACTGATAAGAAATCGTGAAACTTTGTTAAATAAGTGTATAAGACCGCATCTTTAGAGTGTGCGTCATCAGACCTGTCACGAGTGCTGAGTATTTTGAAGTGCTAAAACTGTTCTGTTGAAAATTATCTATTTAAAGCAAACAATAAATTACTGAAGAATGAATGTAAAAGAAAAAAATACTTTTTAGTAGAATAAGTAGGAAAAACTTTATCTTTTAAAGGAATATGATGGGAGGGTGTACTTGTACCTGTATGACCTTGTAACTGATATAGAAACACATGTAATGACCTAGGTGCTTTATCGTAACCTTGAGGCTCGATGCTTAAACTAAAAATATACCTTTAATCTTGCATAATGCAAACAGAAACATTCTGCTCTCATTATACATACGTTATACATATGTTTTTTGACTGTGTAAACAGTAAAGTTTGGGCTCACTTTAAGATCATACTGATGTAGGCCATTGAAGAGGTTGTTTCTGTAGCTGTAAGGAAACACGGCGCATGTCACAATTTCACCAAATTTTTGTTTATACATTAATTGAGCTGTAGAATATATGATTTATGTATTTATCAGAAAGGAATGAAAGATAATGCAACTTAACCGAAGTCCAATATTCAATTCATACAGATTAGGCAAAACAACGTATGTCCACAAAATTTGGAAAATACAATGATACCAGTATCTTTCTTTGTGATCGTAGAAAAATGTAAACTCATCCTAAGTTTTCAAACAAAATTTGGTACCTCCATTCCATAATAATTTATTGCCCCTTTAAAATAAAAAACAGGCGCAATGAAAAATTTGCATGTATTTATGGTATAAAAGATTTTATTAAATTGAACACTTCAGAGAAATTCGAAAGGTATTACAGAAATTTGAATGAGAGATTTATAAACTGTAATATGAATTATTTTCTCTGCTAAGAAGTTACCATTAATCTGTTTTAAACATTTATACAACTTTAACGTCCTTTAAACATTTTGATATTTGGCTGGTAACATAATAATAAATCTTAATACTACTCCATTACAGTCATAGCTAGACTGCGGATTTTATGCATTTATAGCCCATAGAGGTCTGTAAAATACAGTAAAAAACAAAACTTTCGTCAGATCCAATCAGTTTTCTAGATTATTTCGAACCTAATGTGATACTTAAGAAAAAAAACAAATTCCTACATTTGCTCTTCTCTGTTTGAATTTCTTTAGAAAATACAATTTTGCATAAAAATCCGCAGTCTACTCATAACCATATATGTAAGTACAAAGATTTAGAAGAAAAATATGATAATATCAACTATGGACTTCATGTTTTAATACATTCAGCGATTATATGCGCAAAAATTTGATTCTGATGAATTTCCTCTTATCGTTAACAACTCCTTTACTTTTTAATTTAATGTTAAAATAAAAATGTTCTAGGAAAACCCATTATTCACAAGTAACGGGTATGTAGCGGTTATCCTGTTAATGTACACAGTTTTCCAAAGCTCCGTAAATACGTCCGAGCACATTAGAACTTCGAGATAATGGTGGACTATCAAACTGACTTACACGAATCGCATTGTACATGGAGTTGCATTGTTTCCAGAACCTGGCATTCCTCTGGTTTCACAATCGTTGTTAATCGAATTTCCAGCAAAATGAAGAGGAAAACTATTATCCGTAATCCCTTAAGTTCGTGTGATATTTGTAGTCCTTTAGCTTAATTGAAGAAGAAAATTTCGTACATCATATACAAGGAAGAATCCCTTTAACATGTATATTGGTCATTATATTAATCACATAATGGTTACTTTCCATCCAAGTAATAAATGAACAATTAATATCCAATATATGTACATGTTTCATAGACATGGACTGGAGAACCTTTTTCAGTGTACTTGGTTAAACAAAAGTGCACGATTTGTTATTAAAAAGGCAGATTGCAATCATCTAATTAAAAGAGACACGTTTTTTATTTAGAAGACAGTAATTGCGACTATTTCATTCAAACAAAGCACAGACTTAAGTACAATATTTTTCACGCGTATTTAGAATTGGAAAGTATGATGATCTATCTCTAAAATCAAATGTAGAAAATTTAATTTGTTTCTCACAAAAACTATTTTTTCGACGGAACACTGACAGGGACAACGCTATGGAATGCATGAAGAATGCAGTGAATGCTCTGACTAATTGCTCTCCAAATTACACCTATTATTCGAATGTAATGCATTGCACCCGTCTGCTCAGTCAAACTGAAGATTCTCAACTGTCACTGCGTGAAACGGATCTACAAGCCTCAATTTTTAAATTAAAAATTGTACCAAAACATACTGTCATCGACTAATACCTAGTCGGTGATATTGTCTACCAAAAGTATACGTAAATGTTTATAGACACTTACTTACAATTAATGAATATAAAATGTATTTGAACAGGAACCAATTTTATGAAAAACTATGTACAATTTCAGTTATTAATAAATTTTCATCAAATAAACAATTTTTATATTCTCCTACAAATATTTCATATAAATTTTATATTAAAAGAAATTAAAGCCTTCAAACACTGTTTCTTGAGTTCCATTTCAACCGACGACAAAAAGACAGACAAAAAACAAACATTGGTTCCAAAAAAGCATCAGCACTCCAAATAAATAGAAATTGTGGTGCCCATTTCATACCAAGAATTCATAAATCGTGTTAAAGAAAACATTAAAGATGAATGGAATCCTTTGTGGACTACAGTTAACAGAACAGGGGCCCATACCAAATTTAAAGACTTCTACCAACAAATCTAACACCTCGAGCTAAATAGGAAAGAAAGAACAATAATGGTTCACCTGAGAACAGACCACGTTAGAATAACGCATAACTATCTTGATCAAGAAAACTGAACCTCCACACTGCAACAACTGCAATAAACAAGTACTTGTCCACCATCTCCTTTACGAATGCAGGAACTATGTACGATGTACTAAGATAACATTACAAGATAAGTCTATTTAGACACCGCCCCGACTTTCCAAGAGTATATAAAGAATACCATTAAATTCCTAACGGATACCAACCTATTTCACAAAATTTAAATGAGCCACTCATAGGATTCCGTCGTTAATGACCCTGATATCGATGTGACGTTAAACTGACACAAAAAAAGACTGGGCATATTTGTCTGCAGACTATCTGCGAACAGTCCACAGAACTCCACAGACTCTCCGTGAACATCCACAGACTTTGCACGCGAACAGATATCTGTAAATAATATCTTAAGTGTGGACGAGCTTTAACCCATTAATGCCATCTTCGTTTTTTCCAATCGATTTTCACATGATTACTGGACAACTACTGGCATTTGGAACCACGAAAAGAATGATTTGCAAGCGGGTATATTTTTATTGGATTAAGAGATTAATGGGTTAAGAGGAATTCATATCCGACCTTTGTCGAACAGGGTGTAGTCCTCGCCAAGATATAGCGCGGTCGTAAAATCGGTCGAGCGAAAAAGAACACACGTTTCAAACGTTGGACCATCTATTTAAGAAATCATAAGAGAGATAAACCGTTCGAGCAAGGTTCAGTGCCGTATAATGTCAATTCAGATCCAAAATACTTTTGAGGTTTTTATTGTTGACAACGGTCTACGAAAAGTTAAAGTTGTAAATATTAAAGAAAAATTTACGGGAACCCTCGAATTAAATAAATTGCAGTTAATCGAAAGACTTTTCTGTTTTAGTTTATGGAACCCTGCAACTGCAAGTCGCACACTGCCCTTTCCATCGCCGTTCAACGCGATAATTTACGATCGCTTTATATCTTACTGTGAGCCAAGACTATGCTCTAGATGCGTTAAAGAATCTTCTGTGGTTGCGCGGAAAAAGCGATTTTTTGAGAATTTTTCAGTGGAAAACGTATCCATTTATTTTTACAGTAGTTGTTGTATTTAATTAAGACACGTTTAAAAAACATTTTGTTAAATTTTAAGCCGAAAGGCCTTTTAAAAAGATGATTCGCGGTGACCACTCCTGCTCGGAACAGAATCATCTGGCATCAAAATTTCGAGAAAATTTAGGTAATATGTATATTGGTTTATCGTTTTAGAACGTAACTTGATGAACGTAACCTGGTGAAACGTTTTAGAAAAAAACCATTTAGACAAAATGACGGACATTGAAACTAGGCGACCAATTTTCAGTTAAAAAGATGCTCGTTTTTCAACCATAAAATAAAATCTAAGCATGGAAACATGAAATCCTTCGATTAGAAACTAGATTTTTAGTTTTGATTAATCCTGGTCACCGAGTATGAAAATGTTATTTAAGAAAAAAACGCGTTTCAAGTTTCAAAGTCAATTTCATGTAAAACAACATTTTTTTTAACTTACACAGAGTCATCTATTTTAGGCTCATATCCATATACATATGTATAGTAGACCTTCTGCTGAATTGGCCGCCTTCAAAAAGTCAATATGGTGCTGCTGAATTTTACAAAATTTCACACAGCTAAGGTCGGGCACGGTGATTTTGAATCGCGGAATGCGTTAAAGCATTTATCAATGACCGACACAGAATTTTCCGTTCACGCCACGACGGTCACCGAGGACCGTCGCGTAATGCAAATTCAAATATCAAATAATCCAATCGACATGAACGGAAAGTCAGCCGAAACAAGCTGGACGGTGAATGGGTTAGGTTAATGATTGTATTGAGATTGGAACTATCAATCTCGTCGAAATGACGAATTTCAGATTGCTGAAAAAATGATAAAGCTATTTTCTTCAGAATTTTCGTTACCTTAAATTTAGTATACGTTTTATATCATACTACGGTATTTTATATTACTTCATATTGCGTATTACACAATAGAATTTAATATACATCCAATGCTGGTAGTTCTAGTGTTAAGCTTACATGTTAACTTAAATTAATTGAAAATGATCAGTTCATATGAAGTACACAGTATCGTATATTATACATATACCAATATTAATATTTGCCAGAAATGGAGATAGTAAATTATGGATAAGCACTTAGCATAATGCTGTGTTGATCAAGCCGGGTTCCAAGCTTCGAAAAACCGATCGATTTGCAAAATTGATTTTCCCAAAAATGAAATCTTATCTGAAAAACTTTTATTAGATATTTGTAATTTACCTTTGTATAAGGAATCTGCACCTTCTCTTCAGGTATAAAAAAAAATGTGAATATACTCTACATACGTATGTATAATGTATATTCATATCTTCAATTATACATAATCATACAAACGTAAGATATGGTCGTTATGTATTCCTTTTCTCCAATATTATAAAACATGATTTTCCAATTTCTGCATCCTACTAATTTATACATTAAAAGCACATACTACGCTGCCGGCATAAAATATTCGTACTGTTTTAAAAATTTGTTGCAGTTGAACCCTATTTTCAAAAAATGTGTTCCTTCGTTACATTATTCATAAAGTAAGAAAATATCTTAATTTTTTTCAGAAAGCTGATTTTGTATTCACAATGGCGGCCTTATCTGGAGTGGTTTCCCTCGTAGATGGCATAACGGTGTAGATGAATTCAGTTCTCCGTAGATATAAAATTAAAATTTCAGGAAGGTTCCGTATTTGTGGACATGCCCTTTACCTTTCAACATGAAATTCCTATTAAAAATTACTCAAGCCAAACATGAGAGTAATTTAAAGTGTCTTACAATTATTTTTTTTACAATTAAAACTATTGAAACTAATAAGTAGTGCAAAAATGGATACATTAACAGCCGAGCACTGTTTGATAGTTTGAGACACATTCAAATATTTAATTAGAGCAGATGCATATAGGGGCAGATACTCAAAAGTTTTTGAATTATGTACTTGCTTTCGAAGTTTTCCGCGTGTCTTAAATACAAATTAGAGTGTTGCCTCATTATTCACAGATGTTGTAACGTTGGGGCAACATCCATGATTTCTATCGTGGCAGTCTGAGTTCAAATACATTATTTGAAATGTGAATCGCATTTTGAATCATATAAATACAGTAGTATTTCCCTTAAAGTGGTTCACGCAAATTTGTAATAATTATAAATTTGTAATAATATTATTGTTTCTTCTTTGCAGTCTGTTGATTACGTATTTTCTGTTTATCCGATTCATTCGAAGTGTAGGATGGGTACTCCCTCCATCTTCATTTACATAATTCAATATTTATGTCTACAATTATCTCTTTTGTAGTTGCAAACCTATAACTGTTCGTTCACCTGTAAGTAATGGGCGCAGTGTTATTTACCTCGAAAACGTCCAAAAATTCAATCCAAGTCAGTCGAGTTGAACGGTGGAACCGAATTTCAAATGGGTCTGCGGTGTCGCGGGCGATTCGTCAATATACACACTGTACATGTTGACGTACGTATGTACCTAAAGCCGCGGAACTGTTGCTAGACAGACAGGTTACCAGTAATAAAAAAAACACAGAGCACGCGGCTATAACAACACATTCCCAACGGTAATCCTGGTCCTAAAAAAACTGTTACCGCTCTTATAATACCGAGAAATAACGAGTAATTAGTTTATACTCGAGAAGTGCTTCCGCAGATTGACATTAAATTCGGATACCACTCCTACAGTGTCATGTTACCTAATCTTACTAAATTTTTTCCAAGTATTTACTTGCCATGAATACATACACCATATAGGTTAACCGTACTTGTGCTTTTTATAACTTTTCTTGTGCCCGACACCTGTGAATGTGATCAAAACTCTACAGGAGAAGAAAATTTTGGATAAAGTATCAAAATACATCCACAAACAGAAAATAATACGTTACACTGAAGAAAGAGCACGTGCAGGGATTACAGCAACGGACATCCGACTGGATCAAAGGATGCGCTGTGCAGGGATAATTAGTACGTATTATGTTTGGAAATTATACTTTGTTAACTCTTTTGCATAATCTTGTGAAAACTGTTGAATCGACTTTCCTTGAAATGTTTTAATACTAATTTAAGAAATTTCTTTAAAGCGTTAATGTTAGAAATTTCTGTGAAAAATGAACACCTTATATTCCAAATTTATTTCTTTACAAAAAATCACTTTAATATTACAGATTAATGTAATTCGAAAGAAAATATGAGTTTGATTGCAAAAGTCTAAAGGACAGTCAAATATTATTTATTATGAATATTGAATATATTATATATGTAATATAAAACAAGAACATGCAAGTAACTCCGAAATGAAATTTAAAAAATTGAAAAAAGTATAAATGTAAATAAGGGGAATGTACAAAAGGTTCTTACAGTATTAACAAAGAATCTGTAAAGAAAACAAATCTACCAGAATATGAGTTCGTAGTTAACACTAGAACCACCAGCATTAAATGTATGCTAGGTTAAATTGTGTAATATATTAATTCGTATAATATATAATACAATATAACTTATAACAATATAACTTAGTATACTATAATATAAAGTGTATAAGAAATTAGAGGTCAACAGAAATTCCGATGAAAGTATCTCTAGGATTTCGGTAATTGTAAAATAAGATATCTAAAATCCGTCATTTTCACGGGTTTAGTAGTTCTAGTGTTAAGTACGCAAACGCTAAAAAGGTGCACAATTGCTCAAATTTCTGGTGCCCTCAAGAAATATCAATAATACCGAAATGACAAAATAAGCAATCAGGTAACTGAGAGGTTCATATACACAGAACAAATGCGATTGTTCTTCGTTATGTCAATGTCAACAACCTATAAGAAAGAAGCCTATAATGTTGCCGTGTTGTCAATTTTTAATTCTTATTTCTTACCTACGCAAAACATTGACCATACGAATTTTTCGTTTTAGTCAAGTAGAACAACCGGAATAATGCACAAGAAATGTATATTGTAGAACGTCGATCATTCGAATTAATAGAAAAACACTTCCATGCGGATAATATTTTCATATATGTTATAAAACGATTGCATATATAGAACAGTTTTGGAAGATGGATGTTTATTGTGCGTAGTATCGTATAATCACACAAATAAATATTTAAAACCTAGGGCAAACTTTAGCTTCGCAACGTAATGGGATGGTACATCACCCCGCTATTTCGTCATTTATATTATTATTTTTTTCAACTAAAATATATAAAATAGTATTATATTCGTTCATAATTTTATACCATGAATTATCTTAAAGTATTTCTAGTTATTCTTAAATAACATGACAACTGGAATTTTAAAATCCAATATATTTTATTGGTAATTAAACCATTACATAATTTAATGGTATGTTTTCCTGTGCTTCGTCTAATATGTATACACATTGTATATATATTAATGTCATCATTCTTTTATAATCATTCGAGACTCGTTCTTTATTCCGATTGTCGATGTGTAGGATAATCGGTGTTTTATTTTGAATAACGCATATCTTACCGACCCTGAATCCTTCGTTATTTGTACGCATTTCCCTAGACTGCACTCACAGATTCATTCATGCACGTACACGTCGCTGGTGCGTGCCGATTACGTAGGTTACCTTTATTTGCTGGTTCCTTCAAATAAATTTGTATTCACTAGATCATTAAAATGAATTCATTTTATTCGCCACTTTTATTCAGAGATTATTCGAATAACATTTTCTTAACGAGCAAGATTATTCGAATAACAGTTTATACACTATTATAATTTTCCTTTAACAAAAGAAAACAATGTACTCATGATTGTGCAAAGTTTTAGATCAGTAAGTTCAATACTTATTCTTCTAAAAGAAGTGATAGAATAATTACACAGCAGTATTATCTCTTGAAATTTCGGAACGTTCTTTAATGCGCTCTGTTTCTTATCGGCGCTTTATTCTTTCTGAATGAAGCAGCTTTAAATGTATCAGCCCGGTTGTTCGAAATTTGTAAGCTCGATTACGTGACTCGGTTGCGAGTATAGCTTCCTCGCAGCACGTACTCCACAGTTCGCGAAAAATCCTTCACATAATTTCACTACAACGAAACACTTTTGGAAACGTTATCCAAAACTACACTCCTGCTCATAACTATTAAGCCACTTATCTGAAATGCAATAAATGTTACAAGGCATTACGAAATAGCTGAATGTCTGAAATAAATATTGTTTAGAAAACATTAAAGTTCGATGGATAACGCTAATACTACTACAAAATAATAAACGTGCCCTAAAATATATATAACTTTTACGAAACATCATATTTCCTTCATGAAGACCAGGTGACCCAATAATAATTATGAACGGTAGTGTATGCTTTGCTTTCATGAATTAGATCACTGAATTCCAAAATGATATATGTAAATCCAAAAATTCGATTTGTGACGTGCATTTCAGACAAAAGTTCCGAGCTGAACTCGACAGTGTCTGTCACAAATATACCAACCCCATAAAATTTGAATGATTTGATGGTTTGGTAGTAAATTATGCTATAATGTTAATTTCCATTGTTAGATAGGATCATAACAAGAAACATTAAAAAAACAGTCCCATGGATTTATTGAAATTATTATATTAAATTAAAAATATAACAAGAATGCTACTGAATTTTTGTTTTATAAATATACCAACTATAACAAAAACCTATTTTATTTTAATTGTTATCTACGGATAAAGATATTTAATAGTTTATTACATTTCCGCCTCTACGAATTAAGTCAAAAACTCGATTTTCCATACTGGAAATGGGATTTTTTTATTATTTCTTTGTCTATATTCTTCCACGTTTCAATAATTGCGTCCTTTAGTTCTTCAAGCTTATGATATTTCTGATTTTTTTAATAAATTCGTCGAACTAATATAGTAAAAAGTTCGCATGTGACGAGTGGTATATGTCATGTGAACTGAAAATTTTATGCATTTATAGACGTAGAGAACTTTTGCCGAGAACACCCGAAGCAGAGCGTACACGGACAAAGATAAAGAACGCTTGTGTGTGGGGAGTCACCGAGTAGGACGTACTGGGGCAGAGCTCTCGCACAGGGTAGAACATGCTTGCGTAAAATACCCACGGGAGGCATGGAGAGGGTAAGCGTTCGCGCGGTTATCCCACGATTTTGGCATCACTGGCCGCAGAGCAGATAGAACCGACCAGTTCGAATACGCACAAAATTTTATTTTGTCGCTTAGTTGTCATATACATATACATATACATATACATATGTATACATATACATATTGTATATGTATAGTCATATACTCAGTAGTGGATTATTACTACATATTTTCCAGTTATAACAAGTTTTTATTTATATCACACATCAGTTGTTTAAACGGGTCATATATTACATTAAGTTGCCATGCGACAACAAAGGTTTTCATTGAGCTTCGTACGTGCATTCCACAACATTGTTGTCCTTCCAGCCGAATGCCAGCAGAGAAATTCATACACATCGTAACTAGACGACAATACACGACCCAGCCTGCGAGGAAGATGTTTCCACGCAACTTTGAACGCATACTCCGGCTTTGGTCTACCGGAGGGACGCTGCATTTTCGTCCACATGGTGTGCGATAATATCAACATTCTACGGAGAGACTGAGACAACCAGCTTGGCAACTGAGGCACAACCAACGGAGTCGAGCGTGTCAACCTTGTGTTATTTCAATGCATCGCCGATCCTGAAGCTGCACTGTGCATTTGGAGCTGCTGTCAGATTTTCTCACGGTGAGCCTTAAATCGCCTATATTTTTCCTTCCTTTTGATATCCTTTATGGAGAATCTTTTAATACCACTCTAAAATTTATTCCAGAAAAACTACTCTATGAAGTGATTTGATTTTTTTTTTATTAAAAAGGGTGTTGTAGATTATTTTAAAAAATTGTGGAAGTTTTAGATAAACAAATATGGCCGATAAATTAATTTGCGCACATACGTGCAACATGAACATAGCTGCACTGTCTGCATGATTCATTTTCCCATTGTGGTTCATTCTGGAAATTGATGAAACTTCGCTAAATTTTATCGTGCTGGCTATGACCAGTCCGAAGTTGATTTTTCAATTTATTTAAATTTACAAAGTTGTGTCATTTTAAAAAATAAAATGACATTCCATGTAAAAATTGGCACCTTTGTTAGTGAATAGAAACTTGAAAACTTAAAAACGCAAAAAGATAGCTCGATGGTCGAAGATAATCTTATCAATTATATGTACTCAAATTCAGTGGAAAAAATATTAAAAATATGCAGAATTACCGAACAGATAGTCTCTAAAGAGTGTGTTTGGAAAAAACGCGTGGAAAGGTGTACTTCCCCATTACTAGTCGTGGCACGCTTTTATAGTTTTCATTAAAACTTTGTCAATTTTTTGAATTTTTTTCGAAAAACGTTTACAAAATATTCCTAACGCTTCATACAATTAAATAAACAAATTAAAAAATCGACTATTTTGAACCTCGTAAAAATATTTACCTGCTTAAACGAGCTATACATATATGTATATATATATATAACACTTATTTATTAATTAGGATTGAATATAATCATACTGTTACATACGCTGTTGTCCACGCTATATTGACTGTACTATTTTGGCCCACGGAAGGTTAAAAATCAGAGGGTTTATATTTTACATAGTCCCAAAACTGGATGGGGTTTCATTAGAATTTCCTTATAAGGAAATCTTAACGGTCGCGAGTGAATCTCATTATTCTGTCTCTGGTTGCTATCCCAGTTGGTCGAGATTATGCTCCCCCTATTACTTTTAGTTTAAGTAAAATTAACTTTGAATTTTAAGACGTTTTCCGTTTCCAGGCGCGCGGTTGAATACGATTGAAAATGAAAATTATTCCCCATACGTAACATCACAATGAGTATTCTCATGGACGGCCTGCACTGTGCACACCGAATGGTAGCTCACCTCCGTAAACAATGCTCGCTGTGTATTTGTTAATTTGCCCCAACACCGTTCACAAACCTGGTGTCCTTCAAATATTCGCATGAAAGTTCTATGGATGCAATATAGAGACAGGAGTTCTCCATACGCCTCTAGGTACTCCGTGGGAATTATACCGTCCAAGGACCCGTAAAAATCTTCTCCTTCCTCTTCTTCACTTCGAAACTGTTACGAGCCGAGGGCTAAAGAGGCTTCCGGCTTTGTTATAACCGAGGATCGGTTGTTTGAATTATTGTTAGTCGTGGATAGGCCGATGCTTATTTCATTATCGAGGGATCATTTAATCTAGGAATGTTAGTTGGCCTCATAACTTTAAGTTAAATTCGGTACACTTTGAGCGGTAAAGATGTACCTTTTGTAGGTTGTATTGCTAGTTGTCGACTTAAACTGTATGTTAAGGTATGAATGAATCTACACAAGATTACAAATGAACCTTACAATAAGTATATATTCAAAATTAATGAAAGGAAACGTTACAATTGTTCTGTGTGTGTGTTCTACTATTGAGAAACTAAGCCCTAGCTTGACTCTAAATTGTAATTGTACTGTTCTACTCGGTTTTGACGCATTAAGAAATGTGGGGGCCAGTTCTATATAGAGAAATACGGAATGCCTAACAGTAGACTAAATACTGTATGGTTTAATGATTGCGTGAAACATTTTTAAGAAAGTACACTGAAAGAAGTAAAAGTTTAAATTTGTATTCATGGGTGATTTATTCCGTGTGTTACATTGTAACCCGAGGCTTCGCGTGCTAGAGCCTCGGGTCTCCGCTGTCACCTCATAAAACTGTCATTTCGGCTCGCTTGACCAGCCGAGCCGAGCCGGTGAATCGATAGCTTCCAATACAGCTCGAGCTGCTCGGCTCGACAAGCATCACCCGAGCACATCGCGCGCACGTTCGGTGCTCATGCGGCCCGCATGCTCGGATGGGTACGCGGCATTACTCTTCGGATGTGCTACGATATCGACAATTTATTGACGCTTGTATGCTGTAAATCTGTCTGAGGCAAGCCCATTAACGAATCGCCTTTAAAGAGGTGAACAGGAATCAAAGCCGAGATGTTGTCAGGATCGGTAGACAGAGTTGGTAATGGTGAGGAATTTAGTATCTTGATTTCAACTATGCATATACGTATCTAATTGTTATACATAAACCGCTGATTTTCAATGGTCTTGATCAAATGATGTACAAATGATTTTACAAGCGCTTTCCACAAATCACCGAAATGAAGTGACTTTGTAATGTGTCATTCTGTAAACTACTTATATCATTTTTTGCACTTACAAAGTTGGTTGCATTGTCAGTGTAAATTCGTTTAAGACAAGCTATAAAAGCTTCTGCAGTTAAATCGGATAAGAGTTCTAAATGAACCGCCTCCGCCTTGAAGCAAACGAACATTGCGAAGTATGCTTTCACCTTTACACGATTTCTGTATTGCTTTTCTTTGCAAACAAGGGTCTGCATAAATCTAGATCCACTATCACTAACATTTCCTAACAGCTCTCTGATTTCGCATCAGGTTCGTCCGTGCATTACATATCTCCAAGAGTAGGTATTTCCAACCCCGAGTGACTCCCCCCTTTTGCATCGGGTTCGTCCACGAAACTTGACCAATCCTGCGGTTCGCTGATTTCGCATCAGGTTCGTATTACGAACGCACCTTACTAAGAAACTGATGCCATGTTCATTGAGAAAACCTACACTCGCCAGCCTCTCGCGTTGCTACGACCCGGGCTCGTAACACTGCATTAAACATATTGTCTGATATAAAGGTAAATGCGCTAGTACTATATTTTATAAAATTTTGAATTCTTGCTGTTTTCTTTACAGATACACTGTCCATAAGAGTATTCTGTGTAACATGTAAAGGTTCTTTTTACAAGTTAATTTGAAAAGGGACAGCTGGAAACGTAATAGACAAAATCTTCGCCTATGGTAGCTGCATGTCACATGCAACACTTTCCTTCTAGAAAACAACACAAAATTAAAAAGAAAGGGACAACAATACTTAAATTCCATTGTAAATCATTCTATTTATACACGATAGGATCCATGGCCACCAAAAGTGTAGAAGTATAATAGATAATCACAATATCGTCACCTTTCAAAATTGGTAGCAAAAGTTGTGCATTGCATGCATCCGTCTGATGCACCACCGAAGAGTATTTTCTTCGGTGAGAAATATTGCTAATATGGAAATAAATACATTGAAAGACTCCACTTACACAATACTGTTTAAAAATAACATTTTATCTACCGTAAAGTCCTTCAATCTATTCCTTTTCTTTGACAAAATATTTCCCGCTTTGGAAAATACCATTTCGGAAGGCACTGATGTTGCAGGACAACACACAACTTTGTGTGCTAATTTTGAAAGTTTCGGATATCTGATGGCATTAACTTTCCAATACTGCACAGGATCACTGTCTAAATCTACGATCTGTTTCTTTGAGTACATTTCGAGTTCAGCCACTCCACTGGACGCATCTGTATTACAAGAGTTGCGTGCACTGATCATTCTTCTGATGTTATGTCAGAAAGGTGACCGTGAGGTGGAGGTGGAGGTGGAGGTGGAGGTGGAGGAGCCTACGACGTTATCAATGCTAAGTGAATTGTCACTTTCTGTTGGCTCCGTTATATGATCAATAATTACTTTTCTTACACTTTCTACTTTTTCAATGGGCATTAATCCTATTTGTTTGAACTAGCATGGAATACATACAATAAGTAACAGTATTTAAAATGTCATGAAAATATTTGTCCATCATTTCTCGTAATTCAGTGGCTAATTCATGCTGGTGTTCATCTAAAGATGTGTACATTTGTTGTACCCCCCGAAATACTTTCGAAATTGAAACATGTGCTTCCGAACTTACTTCTGCAGTGAATAAAGCAAAGGGTTCCAGTATTGGTAAACAACTAGCCACCGTATCCCAGTCAGTTGATGTTAAACGTTCAACAGGTTTATTAAAGAAAGATATCGTTGCTGTAACGGCATGCTGCTGCTTTACTAATCTGCGAAACATTTCATACGTTGAATTCCAACGAGTTTCGACTTCTAAAATTAATTTCTGCTTTGGCATGTCCAGTCTATTTTGAATCTCAGTTAATTTGTCTTTTGCCAAACAACTCGATTTAAAATATGATACTATGCTGCGACATTTTCGACGAATAGTTTCAAGTTCTGCAACGGCATGTACTGATTTTTTGACTACTAAATTTAATGTGTGAGCGAAACATGAAATACTTCTAATGCCATTGCCCAAATTTCTAACCGCAACAAGCATATTTAATGCATTATCTGTGAAAACACATCTCACTTTTGCTTCTATGCCCCAATCGCCAAATATCTTATTTAATGAACTTGATAAGTAAACACTCGTATGACTACCAATCATCTTTTCTGTTTCCAGTGTATACGATTTCAAAACGAATTCTTTATTAATGAAATGGCACGTAACCGTTATAAAATTATCAGTATTTATACTCGCCCACGTATCTGTAGTAATACAAATAGCATTTACTTCATTTAATTCGTCCTTCACCTGCCGTTTGTTGTCCACCTATCTATCGTCCACCCACTTCTTTAGTGTCTTCCTAGTCGGGAGCGTATACCGCGGATTCAGTATTCGTAATAATTTCCGGAAACCTTTATCCTCAACTACGCTGAACGGTTGTAGATCATTCACAACAAAACCTACAAGGGCTTCGTCTATTTGTTTTTTCATGTCGTCGGTATCTAAAAACAAACAATTACATTAATTCATGTTAAAATTAATATTTTCATTGACATTAAATCATAATAATAAATGTGAATATATGCTGTTCTTATCAGCGTACGGAGTCTGTTCAAATTACGACGACGCTGATGTAGACTGTGTATACTGTACATATGACGTCAAGAGACCTTGAATATGATGTACCCTCGCCAAATGTCTAATCAGCGTCGTCATTGCATGTGCTGCCAATATTCTTTTGAATCCGTTATATTCAGCATGACTTACTGTACTTCCTCCATGACCGTCACTATTACTGACAGTGTGATACTGCCTCACCCACGAACGTCTTCCTGACATCTAAAAAATTATACTTACACATTATACACTATAATATTTTCACACATATTGCTTTCTTCATTTCACACAAGTATTTATAAAACTGTACTCGCCTTAATAATACAAATGTGCAGTAGCAGTAATTATTAGAAAAATGCACGCAACACGGTTCAAACGCTATAACATTGAAGAAAATAACAAATAATTAACCCGGTGATAGTAATAAAATTACGAATTGCGATCACAAAGGCGTACATATTTTTTATTTTCTACATTGCTTCTATACATATACATATACTCTTCTATACAATGAATGTTAAAGTATAATTGAAATCTCACTTACTTTTACTTCTGAGGAAGTTCGTTGTGTACAACAATGTAATAGCGCGGATGTATGTATGCACTCTGGAATTCACTCACTCCTCACTGTCTTATGTGTCATACTATCTAATTTTATGAGGAAGAGGAAGGTGTCCTCTATGCACCTGGCATAGGTGATTAATTGTAACTATAATTTATTACCTGTTAAACAGTATTTGAATTTTTAAACGCGTTTTTCTCGAAACGACTTTTTTCGACCTGGCTAACATATCTCAAAAACTACTGAACCAAATGACTTGAGGCTTAACATATACATACATATTCAGTACATGTCCTGTTACGGTGGGAACTAGAATAAAGTCCTTATTTGCAAAATTCGAATTATGCGGCTGAAAAAGTTAACAAATTTTTTGCCGAAGATGAAACTTTTTTTAAAGTACTACCATTTTTGTTTTTTTCTTCAATTTTCTTTTGTTCTAGTTCTCGCTATAGCCACACTCATACAGATTAAGAATATTCTTGCCTTTTCTGTTTCAGATGACTACAAAAGCGGCAATCATGTTCGCCAGCAACACGTGTTTTTTTTCAAGGTCGTTTTATAACCACGATAACTATAAATATAATAATTACTATTGCTTACAAAAATTTAAATACATTCTTCAAATGTTCATGAATCAATGCTTAAAACTTGAAACTGTAACACGAAGTATTTTTCTTTTAAAAAATTCTCAAAGATTGCATTATTTCTAGCACGTCACTATAAATAAGCTAATACAAAATATGAGCAAATACAAGATAAGAGAACGATCTCTTAACGGACTCGACTTTTCGAAATACTTAGAACGATCTTTACTATTCAAAGGATTCGATCTAACTGATTTAGCTGATACACCGCCGATCGGTTACGGCCGACGCCCGGCGATTTCAAACCGACCGGTGTTGTGTATCTCGATTGTATCCTTCTCTCTCGCTCTCCCTTTCGTAGCAAGCTCTCTTGCTCGCACGCATAGCAACGCGTACGTGTCTCATTGTCAGTCTCTTCGTACAAAAGTCAGAGAAGAACAACATTTACAGTATGTTTTCTCTTCGTCGCCCTTGTACGAAGAATCATGATCGACTAGTGACCTTGAACGGGAGATACCGGGTGTACCCCCGAAACTGGTAATAATTGGTACCCCGAGTTTCTAACAGTGAGAGTAATTGTAATTGCTCTATCTTTCCGAACAGCTCATTGTATAGGTGCGAATTCAAGTAATATTACTATATTTTTTTTTAATATTGTGAAAGTGAGGACTACATGATGGCTAGGTCCAAACGGCTTTTATGGCCTTATAGAATTCAAATGAACACACAGCAATCGCTGTTTGTGCCTCTACCAAAACCGAATATTACAATTGAATCACGTACCGAAAGTAACGTGTTCCGTCGTAGACCCGAAACGACGGCTTTAGAATCTGACATTACCGTTATCTTTTATTATTTTATTTCCTTCGTTCAAGCAATGTCAATTTCGTTGACACAAAGAGAGTCATAGATAAAAGGAGCGAACATTTGGTCTGCAGTCCGCCACATGCGCTCGGTAACCTGGGACCCATCCGCGCCGGGCCTTACCGGGGCGCGCTGACTCGCAGACAATACGGCTATAAACCCTACCGTTGAGAGACTCGAAGCTTCGTCGCGGTCAACTCGCACCGTGACCACGTGCGCGATATTTTACCGACGTCCGCTTCACCCTGAAGGAGAGGTTTTCCACCTCCACGTCACTTGGAAAAACCGAGAAATTTGCTTTCCCCTTCAGGGCATAACCAATAAGGAAGCGAGGTTTGGTAACGCCTTCAGCGAATTTAGAGGAAGCGACGACACACGAAAATCAGACTCAAACCAGAACTCACCCGGTGAACATCACACACACACACACACACACACACAAACGCGCGCACGCACGCACACAAACACACAACTTGTAAATACAGTCATTACGAAACAATCTAAGTGTGCTTTATTTTCGGTTTCAAAATTCTAAAGATCGTGTAACGGTTCGGCAATTAAGTGCGAACATTGCACGACCTAACATAACGAAATGTTTCTAAAGATTCTTTTAAAATGTACAACTTTGTTATTCTCGAAACATTCCTTTCACTTTTAAAAAGAATATCATTTCTTGGAGACACTCTCGGTGATGACTTTATAAATCCACTTTTTAACATGATAATTAGTTAACATGATTACATTTACACTTCTGAATACATCTGCCCTTTGGGCTGCTCCTAATCAGACCTTTTCTGCACACGCATCCCGGTTCGCAGATCTGAAATACAAGTTACATTACAATCTGTTTCGAACGTAAACGTTGACTGAAAAAGTAACGTTACTAACTAGAGGGCAGATCGGGTTTTGATTTTGGCAGGTTGCTTGGCAACGTCCACCACATTCGGACCAGACCTCGTTCCTCGGGCATCTTTTACGTTCCTCGCTCAAAGCCGCTGTGATATATTGATGTTTTTTTTTAACGATTTTGCTTTATAAAAAAGAAGCATCTGCGATACTTACCAATGGAAAACACTGCCAAGACGACAAACAAAGTGAAGAACAAACGAGACATCTTGGTCTGATAGATTATTCGAGGGATACTTCTGTTGAATATGTCGATGAATTCAACACCGACGCTTTTATACGCCAATTCCGTGTTATCTTTGCGAGTGCGTATGTTTGAACAGACGCGCGGTGCAAACAGCAGGTTAAGACATCACGGTACTTTCATTGTCTATTCGTATCGTTCACAACAAATGTAATAAGGCGAACAAATTTTATTATTCGAATAAATCTCCGTGTTTATCATTTTAGCAAACATCGTACAATCGCTTTCATTTTATTATTTCAATAAATCGTGCCGTTCGCTTATATTCGCGAATTCCGTCGTACCATTCCTGATCAATTTACTATGTAGATACTATATAATAACATTGTTATGACAATAATTAATTCCAAAAAATTATAAAATAATTATTAACTATTTTCAAGTTTATACGTAAAATTTGATAGCTTAGTATAAGATACAGATATATACTTCAGGTGATCAGAAATTCTTACCTTTACTTCAAAAGTTAAATTATAATTTAATTATTATTATTTATGCGCTTTTCTTAACACCAAATTGAAGATAAAACGTAGATTTACTCGAATAACAATAGATCTTTTTTGGTTAATTTTTCTACTTATAACGTTAAAAAAACCGCGATAGTTAGTCGTAAGTGATCAGGAACTGGATCCGTAACTCTGTCTTGTTTGTGCAGCTTGATATGTGCAGCTGTATTTGTCAGCCAAACATGCACTACTATTTTCTGTGTGAGCTTCCGCGGTAACATTGAAATAAATAAACTATCTCGCGAGTAATGTACGTCATGTAAAACAAACATTGGCGCCATAAACAAAAGTGCATGCGTTCACACAAACTTTCCACTCCTTGCAGACCTTATAAATATCGATCCTTGGAACTCTACCTGCATTAAACAGTATTTCAACGTTAGTTCAAACGTTACCTATCAGTATTCTTCGTACAATTAGTCATAAAAGTATTCCCGTAACACCACGTACGTATAATATAGGTATTATTCATACTTAATCAATGCCAAAATTAGAAATACTAATTATAACTTGTATTACTGTAAACATTGATGAATAGCGTGTAGATTAGAATGCATTCAATTAAGAAAGTGTATCTGTAGGATTTAAGATAGACGTTGTTGTCGAAAGTAGACAGTAATTACAACTACATAAAACATTTTTTTACCCCTTTTATTAACTGCATACGTGATGTGATATGTTTATCGTTTGGTCGTTACTGTATAATAAAGGATGAAAAATACAGAAAAACTTGATATTATAGAATAATTTCCACAAATGCCTACTATTTTAAAAACTGTTAATGTAATTGTACCGAAAAGGTTAATAAAACAAGAGTATAAAAGTAAGAATAATTGCTTGACGGAAAACTACAAAGATGTCAACACCTTTTCAGTAATTGACTGTAATTAGTGATCGGTTCTGAAACACTTCGAATCGCTTCGAACATGATTCGACACTTAAAACTCCTGAAAGTCTTGATGACTCCGCAATCTTGAGTTTAAAATATATTAATACTACGACGACCGATTGTAGCGTCATATGAGTGCAAACTGTTAGTTTCCGATAATGCAACACTGACGTCATGTGACTGTTAACTGACACTTTTGACACATTTACAGTTATCGAATTTTTGTACAAACACAGCAAAAACCATATTTTGTTAAGTATGGACAAAAACAGCCGACCACTTGTGAATGTTAATCAAGGTTTATTCTAACACAAATTGTAATTGTTCATTACGATTTTAACATTAATTATATATATGAAATACGTCATGTGTATGGAGCGAACCGATACCTTTTGAAATGACTATAAGCAGAGTAGAGCCATAGCAGACGCGTTCTTATTGTATGCGTTAAACGGGCCATGCACTTTCAGCTGCCCTTTTCTGGCTTACCTGTGCAATTCAGTTTAAAGTTTTCTTACCGTACAGAGGGGCTGCGATATTCCGTGCTGTTTCAACTCTACGGGTAAGCCGAAAAAGAAAAACTAATGAACTCGGTCCGTGATTTGTACGATTTCGCATGGTTTCTGCGTCAGAGTTTCAATTACAAAAACAATGAAGTGAAACACCACTGATACGAACCTTTTAAAGAAACCAAAAATTTCCTATTTTTCGAAACACAAGACATTCTGTAAATATGGAAGTGAAAAAAGGAAGATGAAATTTTTAGACAAACGAAAAAATTGTACAATGTGAAGGTTTATTTATGACAGTGTTGGGTGTTATTACAATAAATTTTTATTTAATGAATGATACTTAAATCAAATTTATATCAAATTGATTGAAAAATGAAATTTATTCGTAACTTGTTATTCGAAAATTTCGAATAACGAATAAATCAGAATTAGTCGAAAAATAGGCAAGTAAAAAATGAGTTAAAGATAGCTCTCAAAGTATCTATCGTCAAAGATTTCTAAAAATTAATTTTAATAGTTAGCGTGCAAAATTGCCAGGGAACAGCAAATAAAATTGCCGGCTATTCAACTCCAAATCGCTGTGATTGCTCGATCTCGAATTTGCTGGCCTTTTTGTTGGGCCTGAACGAGTTTAATTGTTGCCAGTTATTTCCACGGTAAATGGAAAGTAAACTAGCTCCCTGGTACCAACGATTTAATTGACTATTTTATTCACTACGTCGACAAAAAACAACTATACTTTATAGAATAAATTAAACTACCAATTCATCATTCGGATGTTCCTCTAGATTATATAGCCATATTTTCAGTTGAATATTCACTCTTAAAAACATATGTACATAGTAGCACACAAGACTTTTTAGGGTAATATTTCGGATTTTTTTGACATTTGGATATGTTGTATTCTTTAGTGATATATAAACGTATCTCAAAGGAATTTTTACAATTTAAAAAATTGTTGATTCTAGAACTGTTTGAAATATAGTGTCAAACTTTTTTCAATAAATCATAACTGTTAAAGTAACAAATTAATCAAAATGAGCTTTGTGGATGCTTATAGTAGAGACATAAGAGTAATTAATCAAAATTATTTCAATTAAACAAACATATTTTAACATTCAGTTTACACTTGTTTTAAAGAAATGCAATTTTACAATAGCGAGACACTACTGAAAATTTTTGAGAATATAGTCCTATTTGTAACTCTTTATGGATAAAAATTACTTTTACATCGAAAGGTTTGATTTTAAGACCTATGTATGTTAATTGGACAGTTTTTACTCCTTTCAGTGAGTACCTCCTACATTCTGTTTTATACAGTATACATATACGGTTTAAGTGTATACACGCTATTATTTCTCCAGCTATTGAAAGTAAACGTTATCTGAAAGGAAAAAAAATTGTTCAAATGAATGTTGTTTGATTTCATGCAGTAAACTTAATAGAATATGTGAATTTTTTTCAATTTATAGAGATTTTAATAACAATATAATATTTTTAATGGAACTACATATTTTTATTATTACCGTGTTATTAAGCATTTCACGACAAACTCAACGATATATTTGAAAATTCTGTTTAAACAATAACTCCTTGGATAACTATATAAATATTATCTCGTGGATTACACATTATGGGTGGAAGACGTTAACCGAACTTGACATTTGATTAGAGAAATTATTATGCAAACAGAATTTTCAAGTATGTCGATGAATTTGTTTTAACGTTGAAATGCTTAATAACATGGCAATAATAAAAGTATGTATTAATCGCAGGCATTATGGCTATAATTTTTGTAGAAATTGTTCTTAAACACAATTGATCGGGAATATTAAATGCTAATTTATAGGTGGTTTATAAATATGAAACAGCGCAATATCAGCCCGTAAAGTATTAAACCTTTTCTTTTTGTCGCCTTTATATTCTGCATAATAAGAAGATGAATACAAGAAAAACTAATCTAAAGAATTTGTAAACTGTACGTGATAAATATTGTAATAACATTTCGAACTTCCATACTTTTTAACCTGTATAGAAGTTTTAAGAGAAGAATAGTTACGCACACTGGATCGTTTCAAATATGCTTCACATTCGAAAATGACTCTTTCATATCTCGCAAACTTGGCAATCACTTTACAGCACTTCACGTGTAACTCTGTGTAGATACGAGACTATTAAGAATGCAAACAGCTACACGGTCACCTCAATCCGCGAGTTGGTCGAAGCGCTAAATGTATTATTATATATTCGTCACTTCGCACGACAGCTTCTGTTAGCTGTCCCTAGCATCCACGCCGATAGTGTCGCGTAAATTAATGATCCCAGAACTTGGCGCGCTACAAGTATTCTATCTGCATAGAATACCCTGCGGTACAAGCCGTCCTACCCCAAATTCCTCGCTCGTACACCTTATGAGGCTGTATTAAACGTCTTTCACGATATACGACTCCTGAAATATTAATCAACCATCGTATAGTCATGAATAACATCCCGTACAGTGTCAAATTACGTATACAAAAATGATAATGAACAAACAGTAAAATTAATTACATACATAATTTAATTCTTAAGTATGGTCAACATCGCTCTTCAATTATTCATTTTACAAAAATTGTTCATTCACTGTTATCCAATAATCGCCAAATATTTCACTTCAGATTAATTTCAACGTATCGATTTTCGTTTATGCTCTTGACACTGACAAGGCAATAATTTCGAAAAAATAATGGTTGTAAGTTATAGGACTCGAGCTCCTTAAGAACTGAAATAAGTGTCACTCGCCCGGAAAATTCAGTATTGGCAAGAAAAATCAACTCTAAAAAGGGATATACAATTGCTCACAGAAGGATTCGAACGCTTGCGTCACAAAGTGTTAACAACTGAAATACGCACGTTGAACTCAAACTTTCGAAACAATACTGTAACAGAAGTGTGGGATGAATGGTTCGTTGTGCGTGCGTGCGTGCAGGCGACCGGATCATGTTGCGACGGACCGGCGCCGGTATGTTTGGGAAACTTGAGTGACTGGGAAGATGTGAACGAAGAGTGTTTAGAATTGAGCGATAGGGAAGTGTATGTTTTTACGAATGTAAGCTATGGATGCGAGATACAGAGTGCACAAGCGAGACGAATGCAAGGGGGTGAAAGAGTATGTATATGAGGCGTGGAAGTTCGACGGGGCAGTCAGTCGCAGCCGGTCGGAAAGAAAGTGCATCACGGTGCGTTTTGGGAGAGCGAGCGTTTAAACCTGTTAACCTATTAACCTACTAACTAAAATACACCAATATAATAAGTAAAGCGTCTAAAATCAATCACCCCATTCCTCGAGAATCCTACAGAAGTAAGATATCAATAAGTCAACAACGTATATAGAATTAATAGAACATTCACTGGGGAAATACATTCTAAGGAGGTCACGAAAGTATTGGGATGCATTTTTATAAATGAAATCATATTTTATAGTTCTCAAATTTTTGTTATATGCTGATGATTTAAAAGTTTACTCGAAGATTTAATAGCCCTGGGCCACAAGAAATCGTAATTCGAGCATGCGCTCAAATGTGAAATACAACTTACAACCGAATTTTTTAAAAGCTAATTTAAAGGATCATGCTCAGTCAGGAGGCCGAAAAAAGTGTTCTTTAGGAATGTTTTTCTCGAAAACTATAAGACCTTTTTCAAAAAATGTGTTTTGTTTCAAATATTGCAGTTTCTAGATTATAAGGTAATTTTTTTATTTAAAAATATTTATTAGTAAATAAATGGTGAGCGATCTCCCGGATGTCTCTTCACAAAAAGTGGTCTGCCATGATCACTGTAACTTCGTAACGGTTTATCTGAAATTAAAAATTCAGTAAGATTTATGTAATGGAAGAACCAATCTTGTCCTTGAACGTGGGGTTTTTCGAAATATTGATTAAGAACAAAATAGCGGACGTTTTCCTGAAAAAGTGCGATTTTCACCTAAAAAATCACTCGTTTTTGGTCAAATAAAAAAAAAGTATGGAACGAACAAAAGAATCCTTCGTTCAAGGACAAGTTTTTCTGATTTGCAAAATAAGGCGCAAAAGGCTTCATGTAAATCGACGCAGTAGTTTTCGAGAAATATTGATCACCGATTTGAAAAATGTAGTTTCGAGAAAAACGCGTTTAAAGTTTCAAGTCAAGCTTACACTTATATAAAATGTTCATTTTTTAACGCCTGTAACTCTGTCATTTTTAATTAGATTACCTTGAAACTTGCACAGAATATTCTCGAGATGTACTTAAAGAAAATGTAGAAAATGAAAAATCGATTTTTTGGAAATTTCTGACTGAGCATGACCCCTTAACATCTGGATCACTCCTCTAGTGAGTAACAGAGAAATTGAAAGATTATATTTAAATCTTGAGTATATTAACAATATGTGAGGCGGTGTACTTATATCTTGACTCTATATGTATAATTATAGGTATTTGTGTCAGCCACGAGGCTATGACACTTTTTTAAGATTAATTTTAATAGCTGGTGTAACATCACAATCAGAATGAAGTGTAATTAGAGAACAGACTACTTACCCTTCCATATTCCGTTAGATTACTCATAAATTATTCTGTTATAATAAACACAAGATACCGGCAAAACTGATACAGAAGAAGTGACAAGGAACGATTTTATATCTCTTATCTGGATATTTCAGTCGAGGTTCTGTTTGCTCCATTTAAGCCAACCACGTACAAGAGAAAAGTATAAAAGCAGTTTCACGCAAGCTGCCGTTGAATTCACTGTACATATCGTACGAGATACCTACAAGATCAAGATGTCTCGACTTCTTCTCCTTTCGTTCGCTCTCGTTGCCACATTATTTATAAGTAAGTACTAAAATTACTAAGGACGTTGTGACATGTTCTCCAAGTACGTGCTAGGTAGAAGTATTGGGTTGGCAAGAAAGTATTTTCGGTTGTGACACATAGATAGCGTTGTAAGCGTTTTGAAGGACTCCTGTTTGCGTTATGGTTTTTTCCTTTTGACATTTGATATCAGTCACATTTAGGTTACTTCAGAAGCAAGTTGTGCAAATTTTTGTTTGTAGCTGTTAGTTCAGGGTCAATTTTAACATGGAGTGCAAAAACGAACATTTTCGGCATATTTTACTCTTTTATTTTCGTAAAAGAAAGAAAGCTGCTGAGGCCCACAAAGAGATATGTGAAGTTTATGGTGTTGATTGCATAACAGATCGCACGTGTCAGAATTGGTTTAAAAAATTCCGTTCTGTAGATTTTTCACTCAAAGATGACCAACTTTCTGGTCGACCTACTGAAGTTGATGATGACCAAATCAAAGCCATAATTGAAGAGGATCGTCACACAACTGTTCGAGAGATTGCAGAGAGGTTAAATGTATCGCATACAACAATTGAAAATCACTTAAAATGTCTTGGACTCGCTAAGAAGCTCGATATTTGGGTTCCACATATATTGAAAGAGATTCACTTAACACAACGAATCAATATTTGCGATATGCATCTCAAGCGCAATGAAGCCGATCCTTTTTTGAAACGTATCATCACTGGTGATGAAAAATGGGTCATGTACAGTAACATTATTCGAAAACGATCATGGTCCAAGCGTGATGAACCAGCACAATCCACATCTAAAGCTGAATTGCATCAAAAAAAGGTCATGTTGTCAATTTGGTGGGACTACAAAGGTGTTGTGTATTTTGAGTTGCTTCCAAGAAACCAGACGATCAATTCAGATGTTTACTGTCAACAACTATTGAAACTGGATGAAGCAATAAAAGAAAAACGGCCAGAATTGGCAAATCGCAAAGGAATTGTGTTCCACCATGATAATGCAAGGCCTCACACATCTTTAGTAACTCGTGGGAAATTATTGGAGCTTGGTTGGGAAGTGATGTCGCATCCCCCATACAGCCCTGATATGGCACCATCTGATTACCATTTATTTCGAAGTTTGCAAAACTCTTTGAATGGTAAAACTTTTACAAATGATGATGACCTTAAGTCGCACTTAGTTCAGTTTTTTGCTGATAAGGACCAGAAATTCTATGAGCGCGGAATCATGAAGCTGCAAGAAAGATGGCAAAAGGTCATTGAACAAAATGGAAAATATATAATTGATTAAAGTTTATTCTTTGTATAAAAAAAATAAGTTTTATTTCACACTACAAAACCGAAATTACTTTCTTGCCAACCCAATATTATTCTAAAACCTGTTGGTTGAATTTAATTAATGATTAAGGGTTATATAACGTAATACACTTTAGTAGAATATAATTCGAGTTTTATTTTCCTTGGAACCTGATGGAATCCTTAACAGAGTTAACAAGTGTCTGATCCTAGTTTCTGAAAATGGGTCGCTAAAGATCCATGTTTACAAACAAATCCGCAGTCTGATAGTTAGACGTAAGGAAAGATTTATTTACAATTGTTCGAATTGTGCATGTACAATTAAAAGTAGCCGGAATTGTGTTGCATTTGGCTGTATCTTTATCGGAAAATAGTTACTTGGTACCGCTTTCATTTAATACAATGAATAATATAAAAGTCTTGGAGAACATGCTTTGACACCTATGAAAAATACACGAAGTGAAAGCACTTTTCTTAATGATACGAGCTACTTCTAAGCCAAGATCGAATTGCATAGGCCTTCATAAAATTTGTTTTATTCAGTATGAAAAAGTATATCATAAATAGTACTTCAGTATATGAATTTATATTTAAGATAAAAATTAATTTTGAATATAGGTATAACCGACAATTCTGACATCTCTATGTGGGCGACGTGGCAGTAATGTGTTAAGGCGTTCATATAATACAATATCCATTATTCGATCCAGACACACCACTATAAGCTATAATAATAACTCGGTTGACATATTAAACATCAGGTACAGATGCCGAATGCCCAGAAAATGAGGTTTGGAATGAATGTGGATCTGCCTGTCCATTAACCTGCGACGATTTGTGGAATCCTGAACCGAGAATGTGCATAGCGGTTAGTATTGAAAATGTATAATTTCGAAAATGAAAAGATTTCAATTAACTAATCAAAATGGAATTCTGCAAACTACTATGAATAATTAGCTATTTATTCTATATTTTCTAACTGTGTATTTGTATTTACATTCCAGCTTTGCATTCCTCGGTGTGTGTGTGTAGACGATTTTGTCAGAAACGACAATGGAAACTGCATTCCCAAGAACAAATGTCGTAAATCGTGTCGACCAAAACCGTAACTTTTGTGAACTGGAAATAAAGATGTAAACTTGCATAAATATTATAGTTTTTACTTTAACCATCCCGTTTTCGAAGCATGTTCTGCACTGCATAACATAAACATGTTTCGCTACCCTTCCTAAAAATAAAAAAAACTAGTAGCGACGACTTCCCGAAAATTTTAGTGTCAAAAAATACATCCTTGATGTTGTGTCAACATTTTATGACATTTTAATCATTAAAAACTGAATGATAGAACCTAAAGTGGCAGTATTTTCCTTTTATTTATTAAAAAAGTCAACATTGAATTGCTTGATTGCTCTAATCAGTTGTCTTGCCCTTTTACTTTTCTTTCCCTTTGCTGCAGCATTACTTAGTAATTGCGGGTCCATTATTTTGCAGAATTTGAACCATAGCCACATGAACCATGTTTGCTCCATTTAAGTCATACACATACAAAAGAACCACCCAACTAGTGATGGGATTTGGAACGTTTCGCATCGCTTCGAATTGGTATATGTACTGCCAAATATTTACCTTACGCTTCGAACTTCATTCGAAATTTGAAACTCTTGATTGAACATTAGATTTGATTCACTATTGAACAAAAGTAGCTTCGAATAACGAATAAAAAATTAATTTTTGCAATGAATTTTATGTTAATTTGATTTCAGTATCACTCTTTTCTCTAAATCCTGTAGTAGCGACTTTAGTCGCTGTAGCGTAAGTTTGCTCGATGGAATGCTAGAAAGTAAAAAATCTGAAGTAATTCAGTCTTTAATCCACGAATTCTTGTATCTTAAAATGTCAATAAACAAATGTAGGTTTTAATGCTACCCATAACTGTTGCTAAATTTACCAATTTGTTGTCAAAAATAATACTTGAATGTTATTCCAGATTTCGTGTTACTTATTTCATGTTTATGAATTGTGTTTAGTATTGTAATACCTTCAAAACTATTGAATCCTTTTTTACAATAATAAGAATTTGTTGTATTTTTACGTTAAATATTTATCATCTTTTGAGAGTTTTAAAAAATGGACCATAAATATCTCCGCCATCGTTTGTATATTAATTTAGGGTAATTCAAATTTATATTAACGTCAATTTCAATGAACCAAATCTGCTTGAAACTGAAAAATAGACAAAATCATTATTAAAACGTTCCCATTAGTAAAAAGTTTCACTTCCAACGCGTAAGAGTTCCACGCACTGATTTTTTTCATGGTGGACTCTGAAATATCTATCGGATCAGGATAAACGATTGAACTTAACTTTAACGGAAAATTAAAAAAGAAACGTATAAGGTGATATTTCATCCTTAACTTCAAGAATTTTATATGAAACTTTACTTCTAAGTTCCACGTTCTAGATTTCGAATTAAAAATACTTGCTCCTATGTATTTAGAAGTCTCGCAATTTCTTGATAACACTTTCCTTCTTCATGCAGTTTTAATAGCAGCCCATCGTTACTGGTTTCGAAAATTTTCGTTGCCATCTTTAATACAGTAACACATTTACTATTCTCCACGTAAACTCTGTTGCCTACACGATTTCTTAGCATCGACTGAAACTTACGTTACGTACAATATTCACATCCTCTACTTCTACGCGTTCGAATATTTTTGTGACGTTCATGAACGATATAGTCACACTCAGTGTTCTATCAAATCTGTATACTTTTTCGAATGTTTTTGCTAATTTTACCCCCACTTTCTCAAGACTTCTGTCTTACTTTTGTTGCACTAGTATATCGGAGATTGAAGTCCAACGACCACATTTAATTTAACAGTTAGGATTACATGCACTTGCATAAAAGGTTCGATCAAAAAGTTGGGGGGTATGTAGAAACCATTTATTATTAACCCTAACAATAATTACATAGGATCACAGTCAAAGTAATCACCGTCTGCCCTTACATGCTCCTGCGGTTTCTTCACCCCTTGCCATATGATTTTTTTTACGACTTTACTCTCAAGAATTACTTTACCGTTAATATTATCATAGATACAGAAGGAATTTTATTCTTATGGTAAATGTTAAATTTATTCTAAACCTTAAATATTATTGCCAGCGGAGCAGTATTTCACGTCGATTCAAAGAAAAAACGAATAATATACATGTTCACTAAATTCAGTTTGAAATCGTTATCACGTGTCTGACTCGATGTTGTAATGCAAGGGGTTAATAATTGCTCATCGCGTGTCGAAACTTCGTCTTCTTAGCGTCCGTTTAAAACGAGGGACAAGGTGAAAATTTCTTAAACTTAATCTTTCTTACACTGTGGACGAATCATGGGTCTATATTTATGATATGGAGACGAAGCAGTAGACGAGCCAGTTGGTGAAGAAAGGTGAGCCACGTCCGAAGAAAGCACACATGTGTCGTTCAAACGTGAAACACTACTTAAAGACGAATTTTTTCAAAACTAACGTAAGAGAAAAAGAATCTTTCACTTTCTTCGATTCTTCCTCACCAAATTCATATAATGTAAACGAGGGGTGTCAATCTATGTACATACTTTTGTAGCCCGCAACGATTTCTATTTTGCACGAATTGAAAATATTGTCAAAACGGATACAATTAAAAATTTGGTTGTATACAATACATAGCGGGACCTCCACTATGACCGTCGGCTAAACTGTGAAATTTAAAAATTGAAAAAACTAAATAATATAAATATACATTGTGCGGTTTGCGTGAATTATACTTGTTAGACAAATGGCCTATGATTAAAATGAGTTTGACACCTCCGATGTGTAAACAAAAATGGCTGCCACTGCACTCTGACGTCTGCACTAATTTAACATATGGGTAACATCCTTAGTGAGTAAGAGATAAATTAAGACATTGTAAGTATTTAGTACATTAACCGTCATCCGACCTTTGTATCAATTTGCCACATTTTTCTGTTAAGTAATGACGTTATTCTGTCATACTATATTTAGCGGAGGCTTTGTGACATTTATTGTAAAGAATTCGCAAATCTAACTATTTACATCCTTATTATATTAATTTCTCAACACTGTGTCTATTTGACACCGAGGGACAAAGTAAGTTAGGAAAATGAAGGGCGGATGGAGGTAACGATACGTGAGACGATGTACTCGTGTTTTGACTCCGTGTAATTACAGTTCATACTTTATGTCTGGCACGAGACTGCGGAACTTAGTTTAAGATCCATTTTAATAGCTGGGGAAACATCACAAGTACTGTGAAGTGTAACTATAGAACAGACTATTTATTCTTTCATAATCCGTTAAATTAATCGCAAATTGTTCTGTGTTATAATAAACAAAAGATACTGTAAAAAGTTGAACAGAGGAATTGTTAAAAATATGGTTCCATATCGCTTATCTGGCTATTTCAGCCGTGGTTCTGTTTGCTCCATTTAAACCAAATACATACAAGAGACAAGTATAAAGACAGTTTTCCGCAAGCTGCCGTTGCATTCACTGGAAGTACCGTGCAACAAACCTGCAGAATCAAGATGTCAGGCCTTTACTGAAGGTATTGTAACATGTCCTCTAAGTACGTGATAGGTAGAAGTATTGTTCTAAAACCCGTTCGTTGTCACTATTATAATACTACCAATTCTAATTAAAACGGTAGACTAAGAGGAGGAATGGGAAATACTTAGAGTTGTACCCGGTCAAATAAAATACTTGTCACTTCTGTACCTCAAAAGACATTAGTAAAAATAGCATACACAGAAGTTAATTAACGATTAAGGATTATATAACGTGTACACTTCAGTACTCAGATATGTAGCACATGACGCCTTAAAAACACGAATTTTACGGTAATTGTAGGTCTAAGGCGCCTTTATGCAGTCTTGAAGACGTCATTGGGTGTCATGTGTTATCTAGGTAGAATATAATAGGACATCTATTATCGTTGGAATCTGATAGAATCCTTAAGAGACGTAAGAAGTACCTAATTCCAGGTTCTACAAATTGGCCCCCAAGAATCCATATTTTGAATCGAATCCCCAGTCTATTAATGTTATTCATATATAACTAAAGATAGTCCAATTGGTGTTGTATTCGGCTATTCCTTTACCGGAAGAGTTCCAAATAATTTCTTAGTACCTCTTCCATTTAATGCAGTAAACAATATAAAATTTGGATGAACTTGCTTTGACCATTTACAGACGGTCTCCGTGGTTAGCACATTCAGTGACAAAATAATATTTATGAAAAGTCCACAAAGTGAAAGCAGTTTTTTTGATAAAACGAGCTACTTGTAAAGCAAGATCTATCGAAGTAATTATTCTTTTCAACTTATCGAATTTTATAGGCCTCCACAGAGTTTGTTTTATTCAGTATCTCGCCATAAAGATTAATTTTAATTGGGGAACCAAAAAGTGTGACAACTATATGTGAACGATGTGTTCAGACGGTGGTCAAAGTGTTAATGCGTTCAGATAATACAATCTCCATCTGTCTATCAGACCCACCTTTACAAACCTTAATAATAATTCGTTTGACATATTAAACATCAGGTGCGTATGCCGGCTGCCCAAAGAATGAGGTCTGGAATCAGTGCGGGACTGCCTGTCCATTAACCTGCGAGGATGTGAGAAATCCTAAACCGAAACCGTGCACAAAGGTTAATATTGAAAATGTATAACTTTGAAAATGAAAGTGTTTAAATTTTCCACTCATAAGTGAATTCTGCAAATTACTTATTGTGAAAAATTAGCTATTTTTTGTACCTCTTCTGACTGCATGTTTGTATTTTCTTTCCAGCAATGCGTTCCCGGATGTTATTGCATAGATGATCTTGTGAGAAGCGACCAATGGAAATGCATTCCCAGAGACAAATGTCGTAAACCGTGCAAACCAAAGGCGTAACTTTCGTAAACGCGAAGTAAAGATTTGAACTTGTATAAATATTATAGTTTTTACTTTCATCATCCCCTATTCGAAGCATGTTCTGCACTGCATAATATAAACATCTAACAATGTATTTTGAAAAAAATAAAACATTTTCCCAAAAGTTGCAGGTGTTTTGTTATTTTTACCAGGTTCCGTTATTTTTTAGACGAACCTTATATATTCCAGGTAACATGCAGTAAAGTAAACTAAATAAAGTGAAGACGTTTCAAGGGTATCGAGATCAATACAACAGAACCTCGATTATCAGAACTATATAGTAGAAATTAGATCAAGGTGGTTCCTGTTAATAAATAAAAAGTAAAATTTCCTAAATGGAATTAAATAAGCAAGCAAAATACTGATTCTCTATTGGTTAGAGATAGTTTAAAGAAAACCATTTACTCAAAGCAAAGTACTGATTCTGATCTTCAACGTCCGTAGAACTTTCGAGACGGACGTTTCCAGAATATCCGAAACTTAAGTCTTACGAACATCCTAGCGATGTTCAATATGAACGTAGGACATACGAGTACAAACTGAATATGAAACGGACGTCCTTTGTATGTACAGTGCTATCTCGATGTTATAATTATCATTGCTTAAACATATTTACATATTAAGATATTACACATATTACACATTAACATATCATTACCAAAATCAAAATAAGAAATATTTTTGTGAACATTTACCTTAATTTTTTACTACTCTCTCAATATAACACCAAGGGACAAATTAAGTTCGGAAAATGAAGGACAAACGAGGGTTAACAGTGTGTAAGATGATGTATTCATGTTTTGACTCCATGTGATTTAACCTAATTAATTTCAATAGCTGGTGTAACATTAAAAGCAGAGTGAAGTGTAATTACAAAACAAACCAATATTTTTGCATTAAACGTTAGATTAATCACAATTGTTCTGTGTTATAATAAACACAAGATAATGGAAAATGTTATACAGAGGAATTGTAAAAAAACGGTTTCATATCGCTAATCTCTCTATTTCAGTCATGGTTTTGTTTGCTCCATTTAAGCCATACACATACAAAAGACAAGTATAAAGCCAATTTCGCACAACTTACCTTCAGATTCACTGGAAGTAACGTACGACGAACCCACGGGATCAAGATGTCTCGCCTTTTACTTGTTTCGTTCGCTCTGTTTGCCATGTTATTTAGAAGTAAGTATCAAAATTACTAGATGCATATGACATGTCCTCCGAGTACGTCCTAGGTACACTGACGTACAAACTCGGCTTCTCCTAGGGGAAAAAGTGTCGTGGGGGAAAGAGCTTTTACCACTTGATAAATTTATTTCAAGTACTGAAACAAATGTTAAACCAAATGTTAATTTGGCATACACTAAAATAGTTCCCGATACCAAATGTTAGGGGGCCTTTCCCCTACGTCACTTTTTCCCCTAGTGGAAGTCAAGTTTGCTCGTGTGGGTACATACTTAGAAGTATTATTCTAAAACATGTTCGTTGTCACTATATAATATCACCAATTCTAATTGAAACGATAGAGTAGGGACGTAGAGGAACCCACAATAAGGTATGAAATTCAGACATTTTGTTTCTTACTCCATTTGTAAATAAGGCACATCACAGTAAGGGAAACACATAAAGTCGTATAATTTTGAATAAAATATTTATGTAGTTGTTATTTCTATCTCTCAAAAAAACATGATGAAAAACAGCTTTCCCAGAAGTTGATTAACAATTAAGGATTAAATAACGTCTACAGTTTACTAGACTATAATAAGGGTTCTATTTTGTTTGAAACCTGATAGAATCCTTAACCCCTTGCCCTATAATATCGAGTCAGCTCGTATAATAAAGAAGAATATTATTCGCGTTTCTTCGAGTCGAAGTGAAGTACCTCGTTTCTGGTATTAATATTTAACTTTTGAAGTAACAGTACAGTTGTGGTAAGTACATAATTCATTTCTGTCTGGGAAACTATCGATAACAATGTAATCAGGAAGAATGCAAACGTCGAGAATATTATAGGGCAAGGGGTTAACAGAGTTTACAAGTGGCTGGTTCCATTTCCTGCAAATTGGTCTGCAAAAATCCATATTTTTACGCAAATCCCCGGTCTGCTAGTGACACGTAATGAGCGATTGGTTTGCAATTGTTCGAATTGTGCATGTAAAAATAGCCAGAATTGTGTTGTATTTAGCTGTACACTTGTCGGATGAGTTCCAATAATTTCTTGACGCCGCTTTCATTTAATGGAATGAACAATATAAAAGTTTTGGAGGACTTGCCTTGACCGTCTAGAAACGGTCACTGCAGTTAATACATTGCAATTCTTTTAATGAAACGAGTTACTTATAAACCAAAGTATGCCGGAGTAATTATTGTTTTCAAATCAGTCATACCATCTTTCTATTTAGACACACCATTGCAACCTTTAATATTTCGTTTAACATATTAAACATCAGGTACCTATGGCGAGTGCCCAAAGAATGAAGTCTGGAACAGCTGCGGAACTGCCTGTCCAGTAAGCTGCTTGAGTTTAGCGTCTCCTGGTACGATCGACTGCATAAACGTTAGTATTAAAAATATATAATTTCGAAAATGAAACAATATCAATTAACCAATCAAAAGTGAATTCTTCAAACTACTGTGAAAAATAGCTATTTATTTTACCTCTTCTGATTACATATTTGAATTTACATTGTAGAAATGCGTTCCCGGATGTGAATGTGTAGGCGATCTTGTCAGAAACGACAAATGGAAATGCATTCCCAGAGAGAAATGTCCTAAATTGTGCAAACCAAATGCGTAACTTTTATAATTGTGAAATAAAGTTTTAAACTTGCATAAATATTATAGTTTTTGTTTTCACCATCCCGTTTTCGAAACACGTTCTTCACTGTATAATATAACCATGTTTCGCTAGCCTTTCTAAAAATAAAAAAAACTAGCAGTGGCGACTTCCCGAAAATTGTAATGTCAAGAAATACATCCTTGATATTGTGTTAAAATTTTATGACATTTTGATCATTAAAAACTGAGTTATAGCACCTAAAGTGGCAGTACTTTTCATATGCGGGTTAAAAAATAAGATTAAAACGAAATGTCAACATTGAATTCTTTGTTTGCTCTAAGCAGTTGTCGAGAACTTCTACTCTTCTTGTTCACCTTTGCTGCAGCTTTACTTAGCCGTTGCACGTCTATTATTTTGCAGAATTTGAACCATAGCCGCATGAAACATGCACTAATAAGGGGATTACTAGTACAAGTAATGCAATGAACTTATCGTTCTTAAATATATATCTATTATAAATTTGTTTGTCACACGAAATACGATCGACGTATAACCACGCAAATAGTTTCACGACTTAGACAGCTGTAAATAAAAGACCAATGCTACCACACTCACTGTTGTCGACGACCCAATTGTTATAACATAATAGCTTCCTATTGGTGTATTCGTCACATGTCTAGCATGTTTCAGTTAGCGTTTAGGTACGATACGCCATCTTACCTCGCAAACCCCAGTCATGCTCTCCCTTCCCCTATGTATAAGCAATAAACTTATTTCTTTAGAAATTTTACCCCAATCATTTAGTAACACTTTGATTTTATTTTATTTTGTTTCCCACATTCCCTAAAAAGAATAAATATAAATAAATAAAAAATAAAGAAAATAAATGTATTCATGATAACTCGAAATTTTTGGACTCTTTTTAATATTTTATGGCAGTGATACTGCTTAAACAAAAGTAATCGAAAAGCCCGTAAGATATTGAATACTCATAAAGCTATCAAAACCTATCGACATTCTCAATACTTTAAAGGCTTCCAAGATCGCTCAAGGCTACCAAGACCGTTCAAGTATTCCAAGATTTCCAAGACTTTCAAGAGTTTTCAGGTTCGAATCAGATTCAAAGTGATTCAAATTTGTCGCCATAAGTGCAAAACAGATTCGAAGGGATGCGAATAGTTCCAACCCCATCACTGCATGCACCCAAATCTCTACACACATACATACACCCACGAGCAAACACGGCTTCCACTAAGGGAAAAAGTGGCGTAGGGCAAGGACCTCCTACAATTCGGTATCAGGAATTATTGAAATTTATGCCAAATTAACAGTCGATTGAACATTTACTTATTCCTGTACTTGAAATAAATTTACTAAGTGCTAGGAGACTTTTCTTCTACGTCATTCTTTCCACTAGCGGAAGCCGAGTTTTCTCGCGAGGGTACATTCTTGCACACACTTATTAGATGCAAACGATAGTCTAACATTAAACACTTTATCCCAAACACTTTGCATTCACACTAGATCTGCATGTCATTTACCCTTCCACAGCATTAATATTATTTTATCGCATACTGTCTATGATATCAAAAGCTTGAACCAAAATCGAGAAAAGCATGTATTCTTGTGAGCAACAAAAAATTTCCTTAAAGTAATATCTCCGTTTCATCCGGCTTGCGAGACCTTTCTGCGTGGCACGACCTGTCTCCGTATCCATGGCTATACGTGCACCAGGTGTATGAATTTTAAAAAATTGTTTCGACTTCATATTCCATATATTTGACACTTCAAAGAAGTTAAAATAAAATTCGACTTTTTAATTAAATCAAGTTTTGATCTCTATAGAATAGGTCGTAGGGATTGTTATCAAAATGCAGGTTCCTTCTTTATTTACTGTTTAAAATTTAGTGTTGGTTTTTTACGACAAATACATTTTATTTGAGAAATTTCACCTAAATTTCCGTAGATAACATTGGTCAGATAATCAAACGTTGGTTTAAACGATAATCAGGTAAATGGTATTCTAGTAATCCAACTCCAACTCTAATATACTTATGTAAATGATGGTTCCTACCGCTGCATTTCTATCAGGATATTTCATTCGCAAAGTCGAAAATGTTATTTGTAGGTTGATTCACTTGATTACATGATATTGCCTCGGAAAGAGCTTACGTTCCAAATCCTCCGTTTTTTTTCTA